GTATGCTTCACAATGTTTAAATATAATTTCTTATCCTTTCCTCTTCTTCTTCAAATATTTAATTTTTTTATCCCTTTGCTTCTTTCGTCTTTGTCCTTCCTCCACTGTCTTCTTCTTTCTTCTTCTTTTTTTTCACTTTCTTTTTCTTCTTTTTTCTTTCTTTCCCTTCTTCTTCTTCTTCTTCTTCTTCTTCTTTTTCTTCTTCTTTTTTCTTCTTCTTCTTTCTTCTTCTTCCTTCTTCTTCTTTTTTATTCCTTCTTCTTTTTTCTGCTTTTTTTGTCTTCTTCCTTTTTGTTCTTCTTGCTCTTCTTATTCTTTTTTTGGGGTCTTTGCTTTCTCTCTTAATGGAGCACATGTAGTTATTCAATTTATGTCAAGCTCTATTTATTCTTGGTCATTATCATCATGTAGCAAGCCCTTAACAGCCTGTCGGAAATTCTCTTTCACCAGCTTTCTTGCCTTTTGCACTCGCCTGTATGAGTGACCTTTAACCTCACCAGGGCCGCACAACGAGCCACCATTCGGACAAGAATCACCATCTAGCAAGTGCCAGTAACCCCGTTCAACCGTTACGTTATATTAAGGCCCCTGATGACAGACGGGATAGGGCTATAAAATTACAACAAATTGCGTCCCATACTAGGACGGGAAATTTGCCCTCCCCCACCCGTATCTTAAATCAAGAGTTTATCTTCGTCCGCTTCGGCCCCAGCCCGGCCTTCCCACTGTTTTTCAACTACAGTATCGCTTGATTTGGCTACATTATTTCAGTTTTCGAGACAATGTGTTGTTTGCGAGCCAATCTTACTTGATGTTAAGATCTTTAAGATATCAGTCATTCTGTTCCTCTTGGTCCATGGTATTCTGAGAGCTTGTGAATAACATTTCTGCTCAAATGCCCCCCCCCCTCCCCCTCCATGTCTCCATGATTCCCCAGCCCTATTTGCTTTCATAACAAAAACATTTTCAATGTCCTGTCTCCAGATTTGCGGTCATTCTCTGCCTGTTTTAATAGGTTATGAATACCGTTATACTATTCAGAAATCCCGGGTTTCATTATGTTTTAAACGTCGACCGTGCAATGCAATAGCAATGGCTAACTTCTGTACGTAGATTGCCTCGTAAAACAGCCAACAAATCATGAGTTTGGTTTACGACGTCCTGTAAAGGTTATGTAAGTTAAACAACAGGGAGCCGCCGTGGTCTAGCGGCTAGACACTCGACCTGTGGATCTGAAGGTCTTGGGTCCAAATCCTCATGCAACCGTAATTTGTTCAAACGTGACCTTGGCTCACATGTCTTCTATTTCTTTGTGTTCACTGGATGTATATTCCCGCTGAAAGTTCTAGTTGTTCTTTCACCTTTGGACTTTCTCGTTCCAGAGCAAAAGGCATGTACATCCGTTCTACAGATCTGACTTATTTGTGTGCAGATGCTGGTTCCTTGTCCTTAAGGCTTCCTTGTCTCCGACTTCGAATAAAGCTCTCTATTGTTCAACTCTTACGACATGCTTCTTTTAGAGGCAGTGGATATATTCTTGTTTCCGCCACAATGGCGCCCCGGAATCCAAGCGGGGAGGTTTTCAGGTCGACAAAGCCTTAAATCGATTCCAAGTAAGGGCCAGTGAAGTAAAGGAGGCCGCTATTATGTTGACCCCATGACACATCGAGGGCTAGTTAGTCTATAATTCACGAGTCTAGCCTCCTATGCCGGATACACCCTAGCGTGAAAGAGACCCCCTCACCCCCTCATCCTCGTTTTGTATGTGTTGGTAACGTCACATTGTTGACACAATTTTACAGTGATGATCTTCTAAGTTTCCTGACGCTAGTTTCTCTAACTTCTTCAGCGGAACCTATTTTTGGAGTCTGCGCTGAACTATGCGGCGAAGGGTGTCCTGAAGGCCAGGCATGTCTCTCAAACGGCTGTGGCCACTCGTGTCAGTGAGTACACTCGTTTCTCTTCTCTCAGTTAACCACTTCTCTATTAACATAAGTTAAAGTTAGTTGTGTATCGTTTACAGAACTTTGCAGAACCAAAACCGCATTTTGTTTAAATGTTGTGGGCTTCTAGGCAAATTTTACGTTTAGTACTGTTTTATTGTCGGCGTTTGTGGCTTAGGCGTTACGAACGCGCTTCGTAATACCGGGGTGCCGAGTTCGATCCCAGCTGCAGGCCTTGCGCTGGTTTTGACAGGGGTATCGAGAAGCCGACCATCAAGAAAGCAGTGGCAAACTACTGGACGTTTATTTGCCTAGAAAAACCATAACAGCCAGAAAATGCTGGGGTTCGTTCTGCAACGTCCTTTAAAGGATACGCAACTAAATAAAAAAAAAAGTTTTCTTTTGCCCCTAAAAGTCAGTTCTTGGTACCACTGTCGAAACCAACGCAAAATAAATCGTCCGCAGCAATGATCGAACCCGGTACCCCGGCATTACGAAGCGCGTTCGCAACACCACAGACGCCGACCTATTACCATAAGGGTCTTTATAAAATTTAGACAGGTGTGCTGAAAACTTGAGTCTCAGGCACATCGAGGGTCCCCTTCTTTCTTTCCTCCCTCCGGTTTTTCTTTTTCTTTTTTAAAGCACCGCGTAATCTTCTGTTTTATAACTGTTGACACTCATGGTTGCCCTGACATTTCTCTGATTTATTCATTCCTTTTGAATTCATACTATTTTATTATCATCAGACATTTGTTTTCCAATGCATTTAACTTTCTGTACGTCTTTAGTGGTTCTTCAGCTTTCACTTGTATACGATATCATTTTAAATATATTATTATAATTATTTGCTATTAAACTTCTTCTTCTTCGTCTTTTTTTTTCTTCTTCTTTATCATCATCTTCTTTTTCTTCATCATCTTCATCATCTTCTTCTTCTTCTTTTTCTTCTTCTTCTTCTTCTTCTTCTTCTTCTTCTTCTTCTTCTTCTTCTTCTTCTTCTTCTTCTTCTTCTTCTTCTTCTTCTTCTTCTTCTTCTTCTTCTTCTTCTTCTTCTTCTTCTTCTTCTTTTTCTTCTTCTTCTTCTTTTTATTATTATAATTTTTTAAAATTAATATTACTTTTTTTTATTATTATTAATCACTCAATGAAAAATGGGCTTCTTCAGCCCTCCCCCTCCCCTTAAAATGAGTACTATGTCTAAGACCCTGCACCCCACCACCTTCATTTACCCTGTGTCGGTAATACGATTTGACTGTTTATAATAAGCTATTTTCGTGGGCAAATCCACCCCTCCCCCCCCCCCCCAACAACCATTATATATGTATTAAGGTTTTGTTCAACGTGTTGTCCTCATCGTTATGTCTATGCATATACGACTTGTTAAAAAAACTAGAGTTTTGCCTTTTTCTACAGGACTGTAAGGCCCTGAAGTCAGCTAATGACGGATCAGAACAGCTGGAGAAAGGCATAGAGAAAGAGACAGTGCTTATATTCAGAAAGCAATATTGGCATTTGTTTTAAAACAAAACACCGTATAAATAAATTATTAATAGTCATTTGTTCGTTACTTTTTCATTGTTATTGCAGTGTTTACATGTCTATTGTTGGAGTGTTGCCACGTTGTGTTGTAGTTTACAGCTAGGCTGTGAGATATCTGCACCTTTTAGGCCAGCGATCCGATTTCAGCAATACTTTAATTAACCCCCTTTTACGACATGCTTTTGTAATAGCAGTGAATCTCTTCTTCTTTTTTTTGGGGGGGGGGGGGGGGGGAGGGAGGGGGGGGGGGGGGGGAGAGAACTCGGAACCTATCGAGGAACTTAGAAAATAACATGATCAGGCATTTTTAGTTGTATGTGGACTTTGGTCTTGATCCAGAACTTAAATTTTACATGCATGTCCGTTTTACAGGTCTAGATGATATGAATGCAGACTGTTGGTTCCCTGCCTCCTTTGCTGATGCACTCCGACTTAGAAGGAAATACCTATTAATTAGTCGACTTTTAGGACATACTTGTTAGGGTCCGTCCTGTTCCCTTCCAAAATGCGGGAACTATTCCCTCTCACAATGCGGGAACTGTTCCCTCTCACAATGCGGGAGCTATTCCCTCCCACAATGCGGGAACTGTTCCCTCCCACAATGCGGGAACTATTCCCTCCCACAATGCGGGAACTATTCCCTCCCACTATGCCGGCATGGAACTCACACGGGGAGTCAGTCAGATAAGAAAAGGATAACAATAATTATGGTCCAGTAACGGGGTTTTAGTTTTCAGCACAATGCTAAAGTCCAAATGGACGTACAACCAGGACTTTCCGTCAGAGCTTACAACCGCTGAACAAAGAAGAAGAAGAAAATGGATTACTGATCTTCTTTCAGAGATCTGCAGGAAAATACATTTCGACAACCTGGATATCTCTCTCTTTCTCTCTCTTCTCTCCTGCTCTCGCTATCTCTTCTTCGCTCTCTCTTCACCACCCCCTCTTTGCGCTCTCTCACTTTCTCTCTCTTCGCTCTTTCCTCTCTGTTACTGACTGTCTCGTTCTCTCTTCTCTCCAGCTCTCGCTATATCTTCTTGGCTCTCTTCACCGCCCCCTCTTCACGCTCTCTTGCCTTCTCTCTCTTCGCTCTTTTCGCCGGTACGCACTCTCTTCGCTCTATCCTGTCTGTCTGTCTGTCTCTCCCTCCCTCCCTCTCTCTCCCTCCCTCCCTCTCTCTCTCTCTCTCTCTCTACACACAAACAAACACACTGGACCAGACGATCACCCATCCATTCATCAGCCACTAACTTCTACAGTAGCAGGAGAAGCTGAAGCAGAAGCTTCTGCAGTCTTGACGTTGTTGATAAAGCTGGATATTTCCACCATCATACAGACAACTGTACCATTCAATCACAATGAATGTCCAGATTACTTTGCTCCCTTTATTTGTAACTAAACTAGATAGTATTCAAACCCGAATGTGAATTAGTTACATATTCCTCCTACAATAGAAGCACAGTCGAGTTCAATGTGTCTTCTCTTGTTATCATGGTCGTACACAGTGGGGTAAGTTCACGACAGGACTACCCTGTTAAAGAAATTAACAGACTCAGTTTTAACAAGATATATATCAGATTTATGTGAACACACTGGGAGGACATTATTTTTATCATAGGGTGAGAAAATGCATCCTGAAACCTTAAAGTTATGGCAGGGCAGTCCAGGACCTGAGCCTGGGTTGGGTCTATGAGGGAAGTAAAAGAGACCGGCGTGATGTTGACCACATCCCACACCAAGGGCCGAATAATCTATAAAATATAAGTCTAGCCTCATATGCCCAGTTCACCACTGGCGTGAAAATGTACTCCCCCACCCCCCCCCCTCCAACCCCCAACCCCCCAACCTGTTTTTCATTTTTTTTAAACTTTGCAGTGGTGATAAATAAGCAGTTAACATACTGGGTTTTAACCAGATACGTGTGAGATTTATATGAGCACATTGTGAGGACATTAACTTTATCACAGGACAAATCCTAAAACCTTGAACTTATGGCAGGGCAGACCAGGACCTAAGTTTGGGTTGGCAACAGGTCTAGGAGGGAAGCTCCGAGAGGCGGACAGACCGAGCACTGCTCTTCTGATCTGGTAGCTTTTGTAGCATTCTTTGTTAAGACGTAAAGGTGTAACCTTTTCCTTGGAGAAGATAAGACAGTCCACCAAGTGAGTGATCAGGCTGATTAGGCAACACCTGATCTTTACAATACCGCTGATGCATTGCGCTAAAGACGAGGAAGTACATCCCTGGGTTTGATTCCAACACCTCCGTAAGGATCAGCATAACACTGTCGTCTGCTGAGACGAAAAGGTGCCAGAAACAATGAGCTATCTGTGCTTATGTGTGCAGCCTAATCGGCAACTCTGACTTAAGGCAGTTTCGCAGTCTCGGAATACCAGTGTTCGAAGTGAGCTGCAGGAGATTCGGTACCCGGCCGATCTGTGTTGATTTTGACCACTGTGTGGGTATCGTATCATTCAAAAAGCACTGGTAATCTTCAGAAAGTGCGTTTGTTTGCTTTAACCAGCTGTAAACTCAACTCCAGCTGAAAGTCCTGGCTGTTCATCAGTTTCTCAATTTTGGCTTTGTTCCAGGACCTGAGCTTTGCGTTTACATCCGTTTTACAGATCTGGCTTGCTTGTATACAAAGTGTTTGTTCCTTGCCTCCCAGGCAGATGCACTCCGACTTCAAAACAAACACCACTAATTAGTCGCCTTCTACGACATGCTTGTAGCAGTGTGTCTATTTTTATTTCTCGTCTCTTCCCCAAAATGTGACTCTGGAACACACACGGGAACTTTCGAAAGTAGAACTGACAGTAAAACCACATACATGTCAACACGTGTTTGTGAATTCTAGTTTAATGTTCACTGTTGAATTAAAAATCAATATCACAGCACTCGGGACACCCTCATAAGCGCCCCGTCCCCATCTTCAGCTGCAAGCGAAGTGTTCCAATTCCGATGGCACCAGTAACTCACTGATTGTATATCCGTCTCGTCTTCCCCTTGAGTGTTGAGCGTCGGCCAGATCCCCTGGTAACTCCTCGCAGCGCCATTTTCCTTAGACCATAATAATGTATTCGTGCCTACACACTGTTCACTCGCTCTCAAAGGGCCCTCACAGCAACTAGCTTGTCATACATTATTTCACCACTAAGTGGTGCAGAACTAGCCAGTCTATTTGCCTGCTCGTTTCCCAACACACCGACATCACCTTTAGAAAGAATCCAAAAGACGCTAACTACCGGCTAGTTTTATGTTATGTCCTACTGTGAATTCCAGTCCATGACATACAACTAATATTTGAACCGCTTTGGCGACAGAGTGACGTCAAGATGGGTCGCGCTAACTCAGTGACTAGCACGCTTGTTTGCTACTCCGAAGGTAATAGGTTCTAAGCTCTTTGAAGCAGATAACAACAATGGCACAGGCACCCACCTCGACCAAGCTTAAAAATGGGTCCCAGGAAATTCTACAAAAAGTAACGGCTGTTGGCATTATTTTGACCTTGACAAAAAGTAACGGCTATTGGCATTATTTTGACCTTGACAAAAAGTAACGGCTATTGGCATTATTTTGACCTTGACAAAAAAGTAACGGCTGTTGGCATTATTTTGACCTTGACAAAAAGTAGCGGCTGTTGGCATTATTTTGACCTTGACAAAAAGTAACGGCTGTTGACACTATTTTGATCTTGACAAAAAGTAACGGCTTATTGGCATTATTTTTACCTTGACAAAAAAGTAACGGCTGTTGGCATTATTTTGACCTTGACAAAAAGTGACGGCTGTTGGCATTATCTTGACCTTGACAAAAAAAAAAGTAACGGCTGTTAGCATTATCTTCACCTGGACAAAAAGTAAAGGCTGTTCGCATTATCTTGACCTTGACAAAAAGTAACTGCTGTTGACATTATCTTGACCTTGACAAAAAGTAACGGCTGTTGGCATTATCTTGACCTTGACCAAAAGTAACGGCTGGTGGCATTACCTTGACCTTGACAAAACGTAACGACTGTTGGCATTATCGTGACTTGACAAAAAGTAACGACTGTTGCATTATCTCGACCGTGTCACCACAGATCGAATGCCGAACTGTCTATAAACATTAGGGTGTTTATATTTCTATTTTAGCCTTTAATTATGGAGGAGCCGTTTTTGTTATACTACTTGATGGGCAGCTGTGGCTATTGTCATTCCGTATCTTTGTAGAAAAGTCTTTAATGTCATCAGTCCATTTCTGCAGGGCAACCTTTTGCTTTCATATGAGATCTTTTGATGTGTAGCCCCTGACTTGGTAGTTGTTGTGGCTGCATTCTGACGATATGACCAAACCATTCGATCTTCTGTTTCTCAATGAATTTGATGCACAGCGGTTTTACCACAATCTATTTGATAGTATAATTCATCATGCTATTTAATCTTCTTAACGTCCATACCGTGTGGCGTTGGTAGTCATGTCTGTCCACAACCTTCTGTCTCGTGTACTTTTAATCAGCTATGACACAGATGATCTTCTATGTCATTTCAGACTGTCTATCATCTTCTTTCTCGGTCTCCCTCAGCCTCTCCTCCCCTCTCATCCAACTTTCCCACTGTCACGGTGTACTCCAATGTTAGTTATTAATGAAGAGAAACAGAAGAATGATTGTACTTACTGACATGTGTGACCACAGCCGTTTGAACGACATTCATAGCCTTCAGGACACCCCTGTGCCTCGCATAGTTCAACACAGAGTCCAAAAACTGGTTCTTCTATAAAATAAAAAGATTTTTTTATGACCTGTGTGTTATCAAAGAAGTCATGATCGTTAGTTGGTGTTTGGATGGTCACAAATGCTCTGGGATACTCAATTCAAACGTATAGGACTGATTTAGTTACATGAAACCCATCTTTTGTTTGAGTTCAAAGTTTAAACCTAATCCAGATTCCATCACAAGTAAGAAAAAATAAAGGTAAAGGACCCTTTTCCACGCCTTCGGGCGAATAGGGCACATAGGGCTAAACCTATATTTTATAGACCAATCGGACATAATGGGTGATGTGGTCAGCATCACGCAGACTGCCTTTACTTCCATAGACTGCACCCGGCACCCAATCACGGCTGGGTCGACCAGGGAGCCAAGGTCATTTTTGAAAAAAGTCTGACTCCTCCAGGGAGCGAACCCACGACCTTCCGATCCGCAGGCGACATTTACACAAGTAAGTATTTATTACTTTTTTACTTCACGTAGACGCTCCTCTTCTACCGTGGAGTGCAGAGGTTTGCCAGATCATCAGACTTATCTACCTGCAGTTTTCTTTCTGGCTTGTTCCCTCCATTTCTCTGTCAGTCAGAATGTTGTCTTTCCAGCGGACCCTGGATTGCCCTGGACGTCCAGCTCCCTGGTTCTTAGCCTCTCATGCCGGCCATGGCGGCCAATTTTCTTTCATTGCAAGTATTTATACCAACGATAATTCATTCAACCCTTACAGATTATAATCTGGATATACAAGGTCTCGATGCAGTCCTTTTATCAAGCTGTGTGCCCTTACCTATTATGTCATTTGCAAAGCATTTCACATTTTAATCCTCTGTATTCCTTGTTCCCTTACATTATAAAGTTTGACATTTATCACTTTTTTCATGTTCCCTCAACTGATTCATTTCTACATTGAAGATTTCAAAGCAAAAACAAGGATTGTCTCGACAAAACATAATATTTCGCAATTCACGTGAATCTATCATAGTATAGATCACTTTGCAATGATGCACAATATTGACAGAAGTACAAAGTAAAGTTAAAAGTAAAACTCGCTTGCGATGCATAGCCGTCTGTTAGACGTAATATAACACCCAATCTACTCCTACAGTAAGATGCGTACCCCCTCAACATCGCAGATAGAACTATCTCATACACCCTTGGTGCGGAAATAGTAAAGAGGTTTTGGAGAGACTGGGAATGAAAAGGGTTATTGGAAGAAATACAATTATCATAATTATATGAAGGAAATGTTGGAGACGACGAGTAAAAGGTGGGTAGCGATACAAGTGGGAGGATAATTTAAAAAAAAAAAAAACGATCGACAAACAACAGTCTGACAAAGTGTACACTTAGGGTGAGAGACATGGAGTGTTGGGAATTAATGGCAACCAATTTTCATTGTGGAGGCGTCACCCGATTAAAGTGCAGCAACTTGTTAACAATTAATGCCTCATTAACAGCAAATCATAATAGCAACAATAATAATATTTATACTTGACTGGGTGCAGTAAGGCGGTTAACAAATTAATATAGCAGTAACAGCAAATTAATAATAATAATTATTATTTAGAAAATAAAAGGTATCACTTACTGGTCACTTTCTGACAGCTGTGTCCGCAGCCATTTGACCTGCACTCATATCCCACTGGGCAGCCTCCAATTTGGAGAGCACGAGCGATGGCGCCGCTGCTACACTCCTCGTCACATATTCCCACCTGCCTCTCTTGATTTTCCGCTTGAACTGTATGAGAGAAATGTTAAGAGTCATGCAAGTAACAATGGGCGTTTTTTCTTCTCTTTCTCTTACTGGTTTTGTTATTTGAAATCTTCAACAAGGGAGAAAAAAAAAAAAAAGAGAAATCTTTCAGATTCTTACGGTGGATAATATCTCCGCCAAGGCCGTTCCCAAGGCAGGCCGAGAAAGGAGGGGAGATAGGCGTGTGACCAGCTCATCCACCCTGTTCAAATTAGGTCTTTCTATATCTCTCTGTGGCAGGGTGCCAAAAGGCAGTTGATACTTTTGATTCGACTGCATGCGAACTAAACATCTGGCAAGTTTGTGAGCATAAAAAAGACGGGGCAGGAAATTTGGCCTCTTACCTTCCCGCCCTCCGGACTGACCATTCGCCTTAGAGATATGTGACAGAGTCGAGGGATGGGCTGGCAAAAGTTTGTCGGTGGTAGTACAGTTCAGTAGTTACATCGTTTTAGATATAAATTTCCATCATAGTTAGATCTGAATTTTCTCCTGTAGTTAAATTGTGATCACCAGTGTGTATCATCGCAAGGAAATATTAGATTTCAGGTCGCTTGGACCGACCTTTCACCTTTGTTAGAGGAAGTGCTTAGTACATGGTTTGAGTGAACACAATTTTGGTTGTTAACGTAATGTTATCTATGAAACACTTAGTTTGGTGTTCAGGAAAATAAACAGATGTTGAATATTATGGTTATATTCATTTGCTTGATTCAAGATAGAACTTGTAGTTCGTGCACGTGGTCTGACTAGACGTTGCCTATGTAGTTTTAGTCAAATGTTGTTGTTGTTATTGTGTAACACAGTTTTTCACATATTTACTGCCATGTTTATGAAAAAATATTTCATTGCCCCTGCAAAGAATAACATTTGTCTTCTCTTTACTTTTCCTGTTTTTGCAGTTTAAGGGGGAACTAATTGTCCTTACCACATTTCTTTCCTCCTGTCCCTACTTGTTCCCCCTCGCTAGCACATTACGTGTGTGTCTGATAAAAGGCAAAGACGTTGAAGTGGATTCCTTCCACGATATAGAAAGGATTGCACAGGATAGAACAGAACTGGGAGAAGGCGTAGTGGGGGGGGGGGGGGGGGGGGTATGGCTATACTGCGAACGCTATGTGACGGATAACGACACGACAGAATGATGTGACGATGCTGATCTCACGTGTGTGGTCACATTTGTATGAGACTTCGGTGAGATGAAATGAGCAAAGATATAAAAGAGCATTCAGACTGCCTGAAATGCAAGTAGGTTGTTGTCTGATTGGACGTGAGTCGTCCGGAAGACTTGTTCAAAGCAATGACGATCAGGTCGCCGGAGACATGAACTGACCCTGCATCTGTGGGAGTGACGTAGGTAACAGAGAGCCATGACTACGCCTAGAAACTATACAGATGAGTCAGACCAGCATTGAAACTTGCTAACTGCTGGAAAAACCTTTTAATGTATAAAGTAAAGGATCCCTTTTCACACCTTAAGGCGTATTGGGAATATCGTGCTAGACCTATATTTTATAGACCAATTGGCACTCGAGAAGTAGGGTGATATAGTCAACATCCCTCGCACTGCCTTTACTTTTCGTTACATTCCCTGGTACTCACTCAATGCCAGCCTCGAGTGCTAGAGGTTCCGGGTTCAATCCCCTGAAAGGGCTGGGATTTGTTTACGTGGACTTGGACTTCTAGTAATTCCCCCTGTCTCTGGGTAATGAGATTAGACGCCCGTGTGTATTCTTGCGCACGTAAAGTATCCCATGGCAGCTGTAAATCAGAAAGAGTAGCCTAACGGCGCTGCCCGGGAAAAAATGTGTAGTTAAAAATCGACCTAAAGTATTTCAGGGTCCTTGCCGTTGCTACAGAGCCTGTGCACTGTGCTGAGCTTCTTCGGACTCAGACTTGAGTTAGAAAAAGAACGGAGCCCTTATGGGTACTACCCGTGTGCCATGATGTTGATCGGTTGTTCAGATCTCAGACCTATAACTCAAGGCTGGGTCGACCTGGGAGCCTGTATATATAGTAAGTATAGTATAAGTATAGTAAGTATAAGATATAAAGTATAAACAGGTTATAAATCTGTTCACTGCATGTGTTGAGGTTGAGGTTTAACATAGGCTGGTTATTATTCTTCGACAGAGTTTCAGTATTTCATTATCAAGCAATTACAACCGAATGATTGATTCACTGGGATATCATTAGCTGAGCAAAATGTAATTCAACATAGTATCTGGGAAGATCAAGGGAAGAGAAAACACAACCATGATTTTAAATTTAATCAGTACCATGCTGAATTTAGGATAACATGAAAAGATATCAAACCAGACAAAAAATACAACCAATCAGCTTCACATTATCACAGATACAAACGACAAGTAAACGTTACGACTAGTGAGACTTCTTCAGTACATTATATAAATATACAATACTGCGTGTAAATTTAAAGAAGCTGTGTATAATCATTTAGTAAGATGTCCCCTTGAAGTCAAACACCAGACTATCTTTTCTTGAGGACAAGAAATACGTGTTCAAAGGTTTCGTCCCCCCCCCCCCCACCTCCTGCCCCACCCTAACCTACCATCTTTCCTTCTCCATCTCTCTCTCTCTCTTTTGCTCTCTCTCTCTCTCTCTCTCTCTCTCTCTCTCTCTCTCTCTCTCTCTCTCTCTCTCTCTCTCTCTACTTCTCCACAATTTTATTTAAAACAATCAAATTCTAAGAATCTAACCATAACGCCATTGGTATTAATAAATGAACATTTATTTATAAACTTATTGACAGTTAAATATCTTTGGATAAAAATATTAACACGTGTAACAGTTGTAATGTCTTACTATAAGCAATAGCCAGAACTGCGAAGCACAAGAACCCTGCTCTCAACATATTGTATGCAATGTTGTATGATATCGACACACTGGACTACTGACTGTGCTAGCTATATGTGCTTGTACAATTGGCTACTGCACCTTTTATAGAATAGACATCTCTCCCCCAGTTTCCCCTGATAGGAATAGATAAGATTCACCAGATGGCAAAATTCAGAGTTTTCTACGGACTGAAGGCTTTGCTCCAAACGTATTGGTTTAGATTTAAACATCGCGAAGCTCTAACCATTATACGATCACGGTTACAATCTGATTGAATCCGAACATAAGCTATGCAATATTGAATAATCAAACATAACTTATAGGCATAAATATCAATTCCTGTAAAAAGACAATCTTCTTTTCTATACTCTTGGAATGCATTAAGCGTCAGTACAGGAAGAAATATGTGGAACGGGTCCTTCTGTTCTCTTCGTATATACTACTTTTCTGTGTCTAAAAATTTTGCGGTCCATATTCTGCGTGACCGACCTCTGGTTTTGTTACCACTGTAGCTGTATTACAGTGCTCTCCGTGGTGCCTTATCTGGTACCAATCTTATTACATGGTTAACCCATCTGATTTATTGTCTACCGATTAGGTTGTGTATTGCTTCTGTGCTGACTCTCCTCCCCATATAAACGTTCCTAAACCGATCTTCCTCGTTTTAAAAACATTATATGTCTCAACTGTCGGCGTCTGTGGTTTAGGCGTTGCGAACGCGCTTCGTACTACCGGTGTGCCGGGTTCCATCCCAGCTGCGGACGATTTGTCTTGCCATGGTTTTGACAGTGGCACCGAAAGCTGACCGTTGAATGGCAAACAACTGAACGTAAAATTGCCTAGAAAAACCACAAGACCCAAAAAATGCTGGAGCTGGTTCTACAACGTCCCGTAAAGACACGCCTCAATTATAACCCGGATTTATTGAATAGGATATTGTTTAAAGCACTACTACGAGGCAGACATAGTGAAGTCTAAACTATGATGCTCAGAGTTTGTGCTATAGAGAGGTTTTAAACCCTGGTTTTCATGCTTCCCTACCGTACAATTCAAAACTATAGCTTGGAAAGATAGAAAAGTGCCATTAATGTGTGATACACAAATCTAACCTCTACAACTGGGAGCAGCTGTGGTGTAGCGGCTAGACGCTCGCCTGCAGATCTAAAGATCGTGGGTTCGAGTCCAAAGGGAATCAATGACTTTGTTTTGTTTTTCAAAAATGACCTTATCTCCCATGTCCCCCTGCCTTGAGTGGGTACCAGGTGAAGTTTCCAAGGGTAAAGGTTACAGGTTTGATGTTGACCGGTCTATAAAATATAAGTTTAACACTATATCCTCAATACATCTGAAGGCGTGGAAAAGGGTCCGTTACATTACAACCTCAAAAGTGGAGACGGCACCTTTTTGAAAGGAAAAAACAAAACATTATTGTAACATAACTCGTTTCTAAAATATAGAGTTGATACATTTGCTCAAATTTCTTGTGGGAGAATAGATAAGACCTGCCAGATGGCAACATGCTAGTCCCAGGACAAGTTAAGAGTTTTTACCGATGGGAAAGGTCTTTTTGGGATGCACATATCCACTGTAGTGAACCTCTCTTGTGGAAATGGCACTTGTTGCATTGATATTACCAGGCGCGCCGAATCAAAGAAACCACGGGGTGGGGGGTTGTTTGCAATAATGATAATGTGCTGAACCAAAAAAAAAAAAAAAAATATACTTTTACCCTTTCTATAATATGAAAGGTATACCCACAGAATTAACAAAATATCCTTTATAAAAAAGTAGGCGTTCTGCATAGTCCTCTTACAAAGGAGGCTTCAGAACCCCCCTTTCTCCAGTTTTTTTTCCGGGGTGGGAGGGGGCACTCCCAATCCCCAGATTTTGGCACCCCATAGTACTATAACATATCAACTTATACTTATTTAACTTATAACATCTCAACTGAATGCATCAGAGCAACACCGAAGACCCGTCCAGACACAGCTCCAGGGCCTGATGGCATTAGATACAGCCACTTCAAAAGCCTCAAGGAGACAGATATGGATGAACTATCCAAGATATTGAACATCACCATGGAAACTAGCATTATCTCTGATGACTGGCCCCACAGCTCCCTCAGACCGGTTCCTAAGCCAGGGAAAGACCGCACGAGAATAAATGGCTACAGAATCATCACACCCCAGATCACTATTGAAAAACGCATGAGAAAAATCGTGGGCAGAACGTTGACCCAAACATTGAGTCTGGTGGTCTACTCCCTGCTACACTAGATGGGTACCGACCAGGAAGAGTTTCATGGTGCAATGCTGCAGTATTCGCCTACGACACATACGAGGATTTCCAGGAGGAAATGGAAACGGCTGCAACCGCTATTGACTAAGAAGATGCGTACAACAGCGTCCCATATAACATGCTCATCAGACTGCTGTTGGATATGCAGATAGAAACAAAATTAGCCAACTGGATCGCAGAAGCACTATTCGAAAGAACAGTGTCGCTTCGATGTGGTGAATGGGTATCCAAACCTCAACGCGTCCTAATGGGTCTGCCCTAGGGATCACCATTGTTGCCTGTGCTCTTCAATGTGTACACAGCAGGAGTCACGAGTGCACAAGTTGTAGACCTAGGCAGAACAATGTCGTATGCAGATATCCTTGTTTACCGTCGAGGTAAAAACAGACAGGAAATTACAACCACGCTACAACACGAACTAGACAGACTTAGTGAGTAGTGCCAGGAATCAAGAGCTCAGATGAATCCGTCCACAACCTCCTTAACATGGTTCTCTCTGAATATCCACATCGTCAGCACACCAACGCCAGTCGTAAGCATATGTGGTGTGGACATCGAAAGAACGGACACCATGAAATACCTGGGCATGACATTTGACACATATTTGACATACGTAGACGTCATACTTAGAGCCAGGAAAGGTCCGACAGCACTCAAGGTACTAGCAGCAGCTGATATTGAACAATGTTCACTTTTCCTTCTCTATCAAGGGCTTGTATTGAGCGTCATTGACTATGGTCTTGGGCTCCTCGCTGTCAGCAAAACCCAGCTAGAAAGACTGGAACGAGTACAAAATTAGGCCACGAGACTCATACTCGGCTGCACAAAAGACACCTCCTGCAACGCCATGCGTTATGTCCTAGGTTTCCCAACGATGACTAGAAGATACAAAGTCGCATAGGTAAAGGCGTACATGAGGGTATCGGCAGACGTTAACCACCTACTGCACGCACAAAGCTACTCACGACACAAATGGAACGCGTCTCAAAAGAGGCCGCTCTTGGATGGCAAAGGCTGAGGATTTAATCCAGCAGGTATGTGACCTAGACGCGATCAGTCACAGAAAATAATGGAGGAATACACCAGTAGACATGAATGGCATCTCTAGGGTTGTCAGCACACTCAAAAGTACTGCAGGGATCAAATTCCTGCGACCGTAGACACAAAAGTAAGGAAACTGAAAGATCAGCATTCAGACCCAGAATATATCATCAGCTACATAGATGGATTCGTGAAGCGCTGATCAAGATCAGCATGGACATACACAGCGCAAAGAAGGGGGGAAACAATACAGGAGGACAGCGGGGCTTTCCAGACAACCACGTCAAGCATGACCATGAAAATAGTCGCTGCTTCTAGAGCTTTAGCATGGGTATCCGAGCAAACCGCCACACAGGCAGTATTTGTATCAGACTGCATTAATATGCTTCAAAAGATAGCAATAGGCGGTATGCGCTCTGAGTGGGTAGAAAGCATTCGAAAATCGCACTTAATCTCCGTAACCTGGATCTACACACCGGGTCATGCGGGCGTAAAGGGAAATGAGCGAGCGGACCAACTGGCAAGCACTGCATTAAGGACTGCGGGGAAAAAAGCATAGACAGGGCAGATATCGACGACGTTATATAGACTGGGCTAGTGGATAATGACGAATCTCTGATAATAACACGACTGCATGACATGGGAGTAAAGCATAGCGAAGCACGTTTATGCCATCTTTGAGACCGAGATAGGAGACAATATAACCAGCTTCTCATGGGAACAATTAGTATAAGTACTTTGCAGGGGCTGCAGCATCGGAGGACTGAGCACACATTGAAATGCCCAATGTGCAGTAACGTCGATTATAATAACATAACATAGCTATAACATTTTTAAAAATATTTTTTTTTTTAAATATAAATGTTAAAAAAAATATAGAATCGACATGTCTCATCCAAGTTACTGTGATAGCAATAGATAAAACTTGCCAGATGGCAAAATTACCATTAGTTGCTCAATCATATTCAGCATGAAATTAATGTTTCGTTTGCATGAACAAAGTAAAGGACGACCTTTTTCCCACACCTTGAGGCGCATCAGGCACGTGTTGCTTGTCCCATATTTTGTATAAACTAGTCGGTCACTCAGAGGATGATGTGATTAACGTTAACCTTCCATGCCATTTCATGGTAGAGATTTTGCGCTGGGCCCAAATGAGAACAAAAGTCTTGTTGTTGTTGTTTGGGAAGTTTCAGGTTCCGGCGTCTATGGCCAGCATGACTTCATGCCAGCACGATGGTCATAAGTTCAAACTTGCTTTGGGCGAATTTCATTTTAACAATAATAATAATAATAATAATAATAATAATAATAATAATAATCAGTTCTTAAGGTGGTTTAGTCACCACCCACAGATTATCGAGCCATCAGTTTGTCCCATCCCATTTGCTACACAAGGGCTGACCATCCCATTATAGATTTTGACATCTCCACCGGGACGATAAACAAACAAGGCAGGTTCCAGAAACCCCGTTCACCTTCATAAGAAGTTATAAGAAGAAACTCCACAGGGGAACATGTACAGCAGGAGTCTACCAATCATCAGTAGAAGGAATCTCTCGTAGACAAATGTTTCGGCCCACGAGCTCCTAGACATTTTCAGAGAGTGGGCCCACCTGAGTTCATGAGGCTCAGGGTTGGTTTGTCCACGAATTACCGAATGTTATCGGACAGGGACAAGACGAATTGGTGACTTTGCAAAAGGTACTGTGAGATAAGAAGTCGTTGAGGTAGCATAATTAAAGCAGTCTGCACACCTGGACGACCAAGTGGCAAGCTTACGTTTGGTTTACCAGACACATGTTGGACTTTATTGGTAGGTGGCAGAGGGACACTGGCAGACAATTCGGTCACGATAGACTTTAAGGGATAAGAATTTCTTTTCCACTAGACACCCGCACCAGCTCACCCAGGCCCGTCACCCACGACGTTCCGTTGTGTCCAGAGCCAGCTCGAGGCCCTCTCAGCAACCTCGCCCAGCTGTTTGATTGTTCGTTTGCGTTCATTTCTTCGTAAGCCTAGTTGTTTAATCACATTGTAAAGTTAAGTGGAAACGAGGGCAAAGATTCTTACGGTGTACGCTTCGTCCCTCCTCAGACCAGCCGCTAAGTCACTGTATTTCTCGAGCTTATACATATGGCTTTCGACCATTCTCGACTCATACGGCACGGTCAGCCCAATTAGGATGAGCTGGCGTTTCTCCGCAGAATGGAGAACTATGTCAGGTCGCAGGCCGGTCTTCCGGATTAACTGAGAGTACTTTTCATGACCAGACAGGTCAACCGCCAGTAACCAGTCCCTCGCACAGTCTAGTATCGATGGAGCGTATGCGACTTTGTTGAATTTACCTTTGTGAATCTGCCCAGTCTTAAGGAAGCGTACGGGGACGACGGTGGGACTGGCCCTCGCATTGGCCCTCATCCTAGCTTGGTCCACAACGGCTGCTAACTCTTTCAGCACCTTGTTGTGGCGCCAAGTATACCTGCCTTGACCTAGGGCTTTCCTGCAAGCGGACAATACGTGCTCGAGCGTCTGCTTAGCTCTGCTTAGCGGGCATGTCGGGTCGTTAGCCGCACTCCACTTTACTATGTTGACACCGGACGGTAATACATCGTAGGCAGAACGAACGATAAAGCTCAGTCGCAGCGGGGTCATTCGCCAGATCTCACCCCATGTGAATACTCTTGGCAAGGCGCTCTCCAGGCTGATCTAATGGCCCTGCTGCGACTGTTGGGTTGCTTTCTGAACCCTAACCTCATTTTCGTTGTCCCTGATCTGCTGTATCACCATGTCTCGGCGCTCTTAGGCTGTGGCTTTGGACCACCAACTGACTTTCCCGTGTCCTAGGCCTCGACGGTCGGTTTGAGTGTAACCCATAGATAGATAGATAGATAGATAGATAGATAGATAGATAGATAGATAGATAGATAGATAGATAGATAGATAGATAGATAGATAGATAGATAGATAGATAGATAGATAGATAGATAGATAGATAGATAGATAGATAGATAGATAGATAGATAGATAGATAGATAGACAGACAGACAGACAGACAGACAGATAGACAGACAGACAGACAGACAGATAGATAGATAGATAGATAGATAGATAGATAGATAGATAGATAGATAGATAGATAGATAGATAGATAGATAGATAGATAGATAGATAGATAGATAGATAGATAGATAGATAGATAGATAGATAGATAGATAGATAGATAGATAGATAGATAGATAGATAGATAGATAGATAGATAGATAGATAGATAGATAGAAACGAATAATGTGAAGTTAGATGTTTCAGCATCGAAAAGAGCGAAAAGATTGTAAACAAAACTAGTATAAATTAATCTTGCCAGCCGACCTGAAAGTCATGGGATATAGTCCGTTAATTCTTATAAAGATGAAGAAGATGAAAAAAAAAAAGAAAAAGAAAAAGAATAAGAAAATCAAGCATTCTTTGAAATGTCTTGCAAGACTTACTAGTTGCCAGAGCTGCCAAATTTAGCAGTGATGTTGCCAATTTGGCAACGCCTAATTTTTCTATCTCCCCCGGAAAGATGGCAGATTGTAAACACTGTGTCGTGTTGATGGTCCAAGTCAACTAATCACGAGCTCCTTGCAGATTTGTGAGAATATGGCCGGTAATTCACCTAGTTCAGTAGCTCTGTTAAATTTCTTTGTCTTCAATACAGAGTACGGACCAAAGGAAGGAGAAGTAAGGAAAATATGTTTTCATTTCAAAGTTATGTTATTGATTGTTATTCAGTATATGATATGATGAAATTAAAAACCTAAAATGCAAATATGCATAATAATGATAATATAATAATAATAATAATGCTATTGAAATTATTAACTTTTACCTTTCATTTTTTACGCACCTTCCCGTGGAGCATAGGCTCTCAACCAAGTGTTGCCAGAGTATCATATTCTTGGCAGTATTCAGCATCTTATTCCCAGGTGTCTGCCCACCCTACCTCCTTCCAGTTGTTTACCTGTCTTACCTTCTATTTCTTTTTTTCATTGTGTTTTAGTTCTCTTGCATTAAATCTCAGTTTACCCATCTTGCTTAATATTGCTTGCTTTACCGGTGTATGATTTCATCCCTTATGGGATATTTTACAGAGATCAAGTTATCATTTGCTTGATTTATTTTCATTACCTTAGTTCTGTTTACCAGCTACCAAGTTCAGTGCATGGCACTATACTATGTGTTGCGGATTTCATTTAAAATGCTTTCTGACTGCGCCAACATGGTATGCATTGTGAACTGCAGTTTTAAACTGCAGATAAGGTGGTGCCTTATGCAGTTTTGATGTGCAACTGTTAATTTGCTGCTTTAATCGATGATGAACTGCAAATCTAGTGATGGACTGTTTCATTGGCACTTCTGATGGCAGTCTGCATTTAATGCATGTGTATGCTATTGGCTTTGCTAAGACTGCAGTCTATTTCTATTTTTTCTCACAAGGAACAGTGATGGACAGTCAATGGTTTTTGCTGGCAAGATACGGAACAATTTTTGGATGACTCACTTGCAGTTAAATTCTTCTTCTTCCTCTTTGCGTTTACCAGCTGTAACCTCCGGCGGAAAATTCCGGTTGTTCGTCCTTTTCTGGACTGCAGTCCTGTTTCAGAACCTGAGTGTTGCGTGTGCATCCTTTTGACAGATCCGACTAATTTGTATGCAGACTGTTGATTCCTTGCCTCTCAGACAGATTCACTCCGACTTTGAAGGAAGCTCCCAATTAGTCGACTCTTACGACATGCTTTTGGGTAGGCAGTGGGTCTATTCTTGTTTTCCCTATAATAGGGCCCCAGAACCCCAGGAAAGCCATGAAATTAAAGCTGCAGTTAACTAACATTAATTCTCATTACTTTTCTTTCCCCTTTGGATTTTTTGGACCCAGTTGTTCTTATCGTAATTCTGATTTTATGTGTGGGACAAAAAAGCAATGTTGTCATCGCAGGTTCTTATCATTATGTAGGAGTGGTGAGAAACGTAGCAACAGATTTGAAAAAATTATAGCCGATGGTATGATACTAGGAAGGAAAGGCAGGGGCTGACTATCATTAAGATGGACACAGGATGTAAGTGACTCCTTGGATATGAAAGTGCATGAGGCGGGAGAGCTAGCGAGAGATAGTTTCTTTCAGGAAGACCTTGATGACAGCGACGTTCTGAAAAGAACTTGTTACATGATGATGATAATGACCATCCATGATGAACTGCATTTCTAATGTCAGACTGTTTGTTAGCACTTCAGATGGCTACCGTATGCTTTTAATGCATGTGTATGCTAGTACATATGCTGAGACAGCAGTCTGTCAATCTTTCCACAATTGACTGTGATAACCATTCTGTGTGTTTTTCGTTGGCACAGATACAGAGCAACTATGGAGTTACCTGTTTGCTATGAAGCTGAAACTAAGATTACCAGATGACCAGAAGAGATAAAAATCAGGAATGAGATCATAAGAAAAAAGTCGTCACAGAACCAATTTTGAATTACATACAAAGACAGAAAATCAGATGATTTGCACACTTAGAGAGAATGAGAATGCCTTGTGAAACCATACTATACAAGGCACACACCAAAAGAGAAAAGGGATGTAGAGCACATGGTAGACCAAGAACAAGATGAAAAGATAACATCAGAGAAATCTTAACAGCATGATGTGTCTAGGGTCTAAATGGCCAGACGAGCAAGAAGAAGAGCCTTATGTTACCCTCAAAACCCAAAGAAGTACAAGATGATACGAGGAGAAAAGAAGACTTTATTTTGCTATCAATGCATCGTGTCATACTTCAAGGAGCACTTTCTCCGCATTGTGTCATTCTTCAAGGAGAACAGACCTGGTATTTCTAAGAAATTGTCTGTAATATCTAAACTCTAAAGCTCCAAACTTCTTGAGTTGTATACTTCACATACTTCTGTTAAAAGTTTCTGAACTAAACAGTTTTACTTTATACTAGTGGACAATTGTAAAGAATTAAAAAAACATCTATGTTTATTTGACGGATCAACATCATGGCAGATGGGTGTAACCCATAAGTGCTTCATTCTACTTCTTACTCAAGCCTGAGTCCGAAGAATCTCAGCGCAGTGCACGAACTCTGTTGCACCGGTGAAGATCCTGAAATACTTTAGGTACATTTTTTACTCACAATGTTTGCCCTGGCAGCGCCATTAGGCTACTCTTTTTCGATTTCAAACTGCCAAGGGATTTTTTACGTGTGCAGAATACACATGGGCATCCAATCTTACTACCCAGAGACCAGGGGAAATTACTAGAAGTCTACGTGAAAAAATCAGAGCCTTCACCAGGTCTTGAACATGGGACCTTCAGCACTCAAGGCGGACACCATACCTCGAGACCACTCAGCCCCCTTAAATAACAACTTTACTGGACATAAGTTAAAATTAATAATGACAAACTGGGTGCAGTGGCAAATGTCTGGGTCAGGAAGAGTTAAATAATATGAGTTTTATTTAATACATATATACATGTCACAGACGCTGCAACATAGGGACTCACGTCCCTTGTGGAAAGGTGCGGAGGGGTCTTAAGTAAACACATTGAGAAACTTCTGACCATGTTACCTTAACACAGACTTTGGTTTTTTCTTCATTCAGGAACATAAAAAAATATTGTACTTTTACCCACCAGAGGTAGATCTTGACACAAAAATAAAACGTATTGGACTCAGTGAAGCAGTCGTGAAATTTGCTGAGTAAGAACCTTGTTTTGTTGTTTGTTAGACCATCTTTGAAAATCTTTAATTTGTTATTTTTCAGTGTGGCGTTGGTCTGAACACAGCTAGCTGTCTTGTGTATTTTAACTGTCTCACATAGATGATCTTCCTTGCCGTGGTGTCAAACCATCCAGCATCTTCTCCAAACAGGTCTCCCTTCTGCTTAAAATAATTCACATTGTTCTCCAGTTTTCACTTTCTCAGGACATGACCAGTGAATGTAGATTGCCTACTTCTGACAAGGGTAATAAGTGGGTAATTTATTCTCTCTGTGAGTTAACTTCTTTTGAGGCATCTTCATTACTAATCATTTCTTACTGACTGTGATTTGTTTAAATTATTGTAGTAACTGTTTTCTTCAGTATCTGCAATGTTAAAGCTGTTGCGGTAGTGTGGCAGTCAGACACACACCTGCCTGAAAGTCTTGAGTTCAAATCCACTTAGAGTCTGATATTTGTTTCAAAACTGACCTTGGCTCCCAGGTCAACCCAGCCTCAAATCAGTACCAGATAATGTCCTGGGAAGTAAAGATGGCCAAATACATCACTCACAGAGTGCCGAGTGGTCTATAAAAATGGAAGCCTAGGATCACATGCTTGATACATCATAAGCATAACAGGTTTTTTCTTTTACTTTACATAATGATGACCTGCTACACATTGGTATCAGATGAAATAAATTTTGGTAATACAAACGTTAGTTTCCCCATTTACAACTAGCTCACTTCTGATTGGTCGACTTTGAGCCACAAGGTTACGGGGGTTTCCAGCAGTGCTGTAAATCTCATGTGTTGTATATTTCAGAACGCCAGCGCTTTTAACCTCCAAAAATATCAAGAAACTGGGTCTGACACAAAACCCCTTTAGAGAGTGATGAAACCTATGTCACAGGCATTCTCTTTCTCGGAATGAAAACGTAAATGCAAAACCACCCAGAAAACAAACAACGGAGCGGCACACCCATAACCTGCAGGAAGGTAGACCAGCCCAAACAAATTATGAATGTATAATCTAAATTTGAAAAGAGGGTGACAGCTGCCAGGCTTAAAGGAAAGTGAACAAAGAAAGCACTTCTTTTTCTTATTCTCTCTACCATTAGTGGAGACTGTTGAACAGAAGTCAAAAGGAAGATGGCCATAGCAATACAAAGATTAAACAGAATTTAAAGTCTATGATTAAGCACGAGGAAATCAAAGTTAAAATGTTGAGAGCAGGCATCTTCCCAGTAGCAACATATGGATGAGAGTCATAGAATGTCTCCTAGTCCTTAAGAAAGAAAATAGGGGCATCTGAGCTGAAATGCTATAGAAAGATTCTCAGAATACCATGGACAAAGAAGAGAAGAAATACTGATATTTCAAAATATCTAAACATCAAGGAAGATTGGCCAATAAACAACATCTTGTTTCTGAAGCTGAAATATTTTGGTCATATCAGGCCCCATGGCAGATTGGAAAAAGTAATACCAGAAGGCATGGTACCATGAAGTGGGGCAATGGCCAACCAACACGAAGATGGGTGCATAAAATAAGTGACTTCTTTATTATAAAAGTACATGAGGTGGAAGAGCTGGTGAGACGCTGAGTTTCTTTCAGGCAGACCATGATGAGACTGATGTTCTGCAAAGGACCTGCTACAAGATGATGATGGAAATAGTGCACCCATGAGTTTGGTGAGGTCATTATTGCTTATTTCAGACATCAGCTGTGTCATTCTGGCACTGAAAGAGTTAGGAATTAAAAATCTACTTTTATTTAAAATCTCATTGTTTTTTTTCTTTTACAAATCAAATCCAGTTTATTTCATAAGAAAGAAGACCATATTTTTTTGATAATTTTTCTTCTTCTTTGCGTTAACCGGCTGTAAACACTGAAATAAAGTTCTGGTTGTTCATCCATTTCTGGACTTTGGTCTTGTTCTAAAACTTAGTTTTTATGCACATATGTTAGATCTGGCTTATTTGTTTGCAGACTGTTGGTTCCTTGCCTATTAGACAAATGCACACCAACTTTGAAAAAAAACCCACTAATTAGTTGCCTTTTAAGACATGCTTGTTGAGGGCTATTCTTTCTTCTCCAAAATGGAGCCCTGGAACCCACAAGACCAATTATTGAAATTTGAAAAATAATTGTGCCATCTCTAGAATGGAGGTTGGTTGCGGTGGATATGTTAAATTAAGAATCTACATCATGGCACTCAGAACACTCCCATAAGTGCTCTGATCCCCATCTTCAGCAGCAAGCGAAGAGTTCCAATTCTGATGGTACCAGTAACTGTCTGATTCTTTATGTCTGTTGCCTTTTCCTTGTGTCTTGAGCTTTGGCCAGATCCTCAGGTAACTCCCTGCGGCACGGTTCTCTTCAGACTGTAATGATTCATCTGTGCTTCCTCACTGTTCACTCGCTTCCTTACAAAATCTAACTAGTCATACATCAGTTGACCATCAAGTGGTGCAAAACTGGTCAGAACTGAGCGTTGGCCAATTCCCCTGGTAGCTCCCCATGGCGCTGTTCTCCTCAGACCATAATGATCTAGCTGTGCTTCCTGACTGTTCACTTGCTTCCTTACAAAATCTAACTTGTCATACATCAGTTGACCATCAAGTGGTGCAAAACTGGTCAGAACTGAGCGTTGGCCAATTCCCTTGGTAACTCCCCATGGCGCTGTTCTCCTCAGACCATAATGATCTAGCTGTGCTTCCTGACTGTTCACTTGCTTCCTTACAAAATCTAACTTGTCATACATCAATACACCGCCAAGTGATGCAGAACCGGCCAGTCTTTCACTGCTCATTTCTCAACACACCGGTATGGCATCGCGAATATATCCAAAGGATGCTAACTATCTGGGACCTATAAAGTGATGCTTGCCACTTTGCAGTGGATACATGTAGGAACAGTTTTTTTAATATTAAAAAAAAATTTTGTAGTGAAGTCCTAGTATTTTCCATGCTGAGACTCTCAAACTGTGACAATATCAAATTTTGGACAGCCCACCATAGAAATGTAACCCTGGTACATCGAAAATTGACTAGCTTGTTTACTTATTTATAAACCACAGTTGATTGATGTGTGTGTGACGAGAGTATTTTGCCTGTTATAAGCTGTCTTTGTGTTATTTCCAGCACCTTTTCTGATAAACCCTGCCAAAGTCTGCACACACAAAAAGCACGGCAAGTGTTTTTTGAGCCAGAGCCATGTTTTTGGATGGTGATGGTAAGATCTTCTTGTTCTTCCTCTTCTTCTTCTTCTTCTTCTTCTTCTTCTTCTTCTTCTTCTTCTTCTTCTTCTTCTTCTTCTTCTTCTTCTTCTTCTTCTCCTCCTCTTCTTCTTCTTCTTCTTCTTCTTCTTCTTCTTCTTCTTCTTCTTCTTCTTCTTCTTCTTCTTCAGCTTTTATCCAAAGGCACATCTGCTTGTGCCCATTTACAACATGGCTGCGATATTTGCACCTTTCGACCACAACGGATCCAACATCTGCAGGTATTTGTATAGCCTATTTGGATAGTAATAAAATATCATCATTATCCTTTCTCTTTCAGTCTTAATAAGTCTGTCATGCGAAACAATGTTCTTCATGAAGCTCACAAATAGTGTAAGAATTTTCTGAACTTGTTATATTTGGTCACAGCATAGTAAAAAAAAAAAGGTCTCTGTCAGCGCAGTTACTCGTGATGGGGATTTATCTTTTTAGAAAGGTATAGAATAGTTATTGACAGAGAAATAGAAACTAGATGTCAGAAAGCAAGTGCACTTATACACCAATTGTCACCATTATTAAGACATCCAAGCATAACTATGAGTGCAAAGAGACAGATTATTAGTAGCATATACATTCCAACATTAAGCTACCAGTGCCAAACATGGACACTATCTAAAGCCCAGATACGCAAAATCACCACCTGCGAGATGAGGTGCCTGAGAAAAGCAGCCAACCTAACCATTCGAGATCGAGTGAATAATGAAACTATCAGGCAAATTGTGGGAACAACACCTTGTACTAGATTCATAGAGAAACAGCAAATCAAGTGGTTTGGCCATCTCGTTAGAATGCAGGAAGATCAAATACCATCACAAGCTCTACACCTCAGGAGATCAGCTACAAGAGTAAGAGGACGACCACGGAAAACATGGATCGACAACATTAAAGACATTCTTCGCCTTCACGGCATGACAATAACCAGTGGCAGCCAACGTGCACTGAATCGCAAATTATTTCTCCCCACGACGCCTAACGGCAGAAGTGGTTTTTGATGATGATGATGATAGAATAGTTATTTTTCATAGTTTTTTTTTTCTCTTTAGGGTGTCTGCTGTGGAAAACATCTGGTACTGAGTTATATGTCACATGGTCTGCTCAGCGGAGGGGAAAAAAAGGGGGCGGGGGGAACATGCACAGAAACAGTTGATCTAGTTTTCATCAACAAACACAAGAAGAAATGAAGAATCCTGAAACCAGACTCAACTCAGAAATCTCACATGAATGACTGTAGACTTGTTTACACAGTAAAACCTTGTTAACATGAACTCTGTGGGGCTGAAAATCAAGTTCCTGTTAAAAAATTATGCTTACTGGGAACTAATAACAGTAATACATCCTTGCTGGAACCAACATTTTGTTCATGTTAACTGAGCGTTCTTCTTAGGCAAATTCTTCTTAACAAAGTTTTACTGTAATTAAATAATAAAACTAAGGTTTTTATTCTTGAGAGTAGACAGCCTGTCTCACACTAACCTTCCTTAGTCACCTCTTAGAACATACGTGAGAGGTTACAGTGTTGTTATTCCTTGCCAGTGCTGTTATTCCTTGCCAGTGTTGTTATTCCTTGTTGTGTTGTTATTCCTTGCCAGTGTTGTTATTCCTTGTTGTGTTGTTATTCCATTCCAGTGTTGTTATTCCATGCCAGTGTTGTTATTCCTTGTCAGTGTTGTTATTCCTTATCAGTGTTGTTATTCCTTGTCAGTGTTGTTATTCCTTGCCAGTGTTGTTATTCCTTGTCAGTGTTGTTATTCCTTGTCTGTATTGGAATATTATTCCTTGTTTTGCTTTTGATACCCTGGTAACCCACAAGCAAGTTTTGATTACAGGTGACTAAGTTTTAGGGTGAAGTAAGTTTGACACTGTAATTAGTTCAAGAAATGTAAGCTTGTTGATACTATGCTGCATTCATTTTGATTGATTACTTCTCCTACTTAAACGTGCAAAATTGTCATTTTTATACATTTTTCCCCCTCCGAGAATGTCAGAAAAATAGAAAGTACGGGAATAAGGCTTTGTTTTTTCAATGTCATTGGGTGAAAGGGTTAAGACCCTATTCTGAATATTTCTATTAATATGATCAAGAAATATGTGCTGACTGTTTTTTAAATTTATCCAACAGATGGCATCCATTCCTTACAAAGAAAAATTAAAAGATGGACAGGTGGTCACAGAATACAGGGATGATTATGTGCAGGACTCTATATTAGAATCAGTTCTGAAACAGGCATACAAGATGTTCAAGGTAAGATATTATTGGTGAATAATTGAATAATATAAAGGGATTGGGATGTTGTAAAATGCATTTGAAAGTTTTTTTATTGCTACAAGTTATGATGAATTGTGGCCCAAACCATTTGCTTTATTGCAAACATATGAAGAAAATATTTACAAGTGTGGCAGTGTTACTCTTAGCAACTTTTATAATGGAAATGCATAGGAAATTAATGCATGGATGTGATGATTCCTTTAGTGAGTTCAGGACCATAGTGTCATGTGTTGGCTATGCATTTATGGTAGCCTCCTTGAATGATGGGGAATGCGCATATTCTGCTCTTGCCTTGCTTTCCTTGAGGGCTAAACCCTATGTGTGGTTGTTCTGCATAGGTTATCTAGGGGCAGCACAGTAGAAAAGAAGAGAAATAAAAACACCTCACAATTCAGGCTAAGATGTCCTATGCAGCAATGGCTACAGTTATCCTGGAGATGTGATCCACATCTTCTTTGCAAGTACGAGTACATCTGCCCGATAGGCAAAGAACAACATATTGCACACAGATAAGCCAGTAAAACAGATGTACAGACGTAACTAATGTCCTGGCGCAAAGCCAGAGTCCAAATGGAAGAACAACCAGGACTTTCCATCGAAGCTCACAGCCAGTGATTGTCAAAAAACAAATGTACATTTGACTCATTGTGAGTTGAATGAGTTCAGTCAAGAATTGACATAACAGCACTCGGGGCATTCCCATGTGTGCTCCATCCTCATCCTCAGCAGCCAGCGCAGTTCCAATACTGATGGTACCGGTCACAATTTGGTTATATGTCTGTCTTGCCTTTCCTCTGAGTGTAGTGAGCTGGCCAGGCCCTTTAGTTACACCCAGGTGCCTCAGTCTCTCCAGGACATAATAATCTTGACCCATTGTGGATGATGAGGTTAGTATCATCATGCTGTCTTGACTTCCAAGGATATTCTAAGTACTCTTTTTATGTATGTGGCTGGGCTGGCTCAGGATTCCAGGTAACCTTTTAAAATTTACCATAACTGAGGATTCTTACCCATGCTCCTGGATCAGCAAGCAAGCAAGTTAGCCACTATGCTACTGTGGCTCCCCTTGCTTTCTGTTACCTCATGTGAACCTTGTATAACAAACCTTTTTTTTTTTTTTTCACATGAGATGTTAATGAAGAATACTTAGCAATTAAATGGCAAGACAAAATTTCAAAAACTGAGACCTGGAAGAAAAAAGGCAGGTGTCACAATTTTCTCACTGCTGATCTTTGAAGGCTGATGGGGATTTGGTCATACTTAGAGGACGAAGGATGCAAGAGTGCCTGAGAAAATATACACACTGTAGGAATTACAGATGGACAGAAAATATGAGATCAGCCTGTACTCTGAATAATGAGGTGTTCAAAGGTGTGATCCAGGTACTGAAATAGATTAGTGGGAACAGAATGCTATGTACTATGTTACGTGGAGGGGGAAATCATGAAGATGAAGGAGAAAGTGATTGCAGATAGGTTATGAACCAAGCGTACGAAAAGAAGCCCATTAAATACATGCAATGACAACGATGGTTCTGAAATCCCATGTTCCAATTGTGAAAGACCTGTTAATGTGAGCAGGTCTTTCAATCCTATGTTCCAATTGTGGAAGACCTGTTAATGTTAGCAGGTCTTTCAATCCTATATTTCAATTGTGGAAGACTTGTTAATGTGAGCAGGTCTTTCATCATCACCATGGGTTGTATTTCCTATTCTTCATATTGCACAGTATAACACTATCATGTAGAAAGTCAGAAAGTTGCCAACAACAACAACAATAAACCTTTTAATGTGTTAATTTTTTTTCCTTCTCAGATTTTTAATGGCACATTCACAACAATCCTCATGCGAGCTAATGGAGAAGTAGAGTCATTGAAACAAAGATTAGATCACTTCTACAGCAAGGTATTTACCAGTATTTGCAATTAAAATGGTCCTCAGAATATTCAGTCATCATTGTAAAGCACTTCTGACTTCTGCTGTTAAAAAGCATTATGTGGAGGAATCATTTGCGATCCAATGCAGGTTGGCTGGCACTAGCTATTTTCATTCTTTGAAGGCGTAAAGTGTTGCCGACCCCTATTTTTAACGGCCATCTTGTTGCTCTTGTAGCTGATCTTCTGAAATATAGTGTCTTTGATAGTATTCAAAGTTGCTGCATTCTAATGAGATGGTATAAACCATTCGGTCTGCTGTTTATTATATATTGTGACGAATATTGTTGTTGTAAGAACTCCATAGATTAGAGTTGTTAACTTCTGTACTTCTTCTTACAGCCCATGCTATGTGGCATCAGTAATCAAAGATGTATCTTACAAATTGTGTGTATCATCTCTGTTGGCAAAGATAAGTTTCAATGTGGGTTCCAGGGCCCCTAATCTTTGGGGGTGGGGGGTAGATTCACTGCCTCTGAACAAGTAAAAGGTGACTAATTAAGCATTTGCTGAAATTAGATGTGTTTGCCTGAAAGGAACAGATATCACAGCCCAGCTGTAAACCACAACACATTGTTTCAACGACCATTTTAAAGATGAACACAGAAGAAAAAAAAATAATTCTTCATTTTATGAAGTTCTGCATTTTTATAGACTATTCTACACTTGTCATGCACTCTTGCAGACCATGAAGAATTTGTGATGTCATAATTTAATTGTTAACTCACAGGGGCGTAGAAATAAAAGCAAACAAAGAAAGCACATGAAGAAGGGAGCCAGAGGTGAAGTTAAAAAGATGGGGAGGACATGGGGAGAGCTGCATACAAAAGCGAAGGATAGAACGACTTGGCATGAGTTGGTTGAGGACCAGTGCTATGAAGGAGCAGAAGTAGGCAAGCAGCACACACATTCTGACCATGATCATAAACTCTCCCTGTAGGAGGACAGTGGCTCTCAACCTTCCTAATGCGGCGACCCTTTAATACACTTCCTCATGTTGTGGTGACCAAGAGCCATACAATTATTTTTATTGCTCCTTTAGTGAAAATGTGTTTTCCAATGGTCTTTGGATACCCCTGTTCAACCCACAAAAGGGTCGCAACCCACAGGTTGAGAACCACTGCTGTAGGAGAAGCTCAAAAGTTATGCTATCTTCAATGAAGCTTTAGGAGTTATTTGAGGTAGGCAAGTGCATAACCAACACAAGGTGGAGAATTTTAGCTCAGGCTGTTTTCGCAGCCCTAAAACTACAGTTGCTGACTGCTACTATTCTTTCCTTTATCTTCCTTTTCTTCAGCATTCTGAGCTCTTGAGATTAATTGCTGCATATATCACTCATCTGATCTATTCTTGGTGTTGTGCCCTGTCTTTCTTCTGTTTGATGGTTTCAAGTGTTTGTAGGTCTGCCTGTGTATTCTTCTTTCTTCTTTTGTCATCTCACTGACATCAGGTTGTAGCCCAGTGTCATGGTTTTCTGTATTTGTCTTGCAGTTCTCGGGTGGTTTCTTTGATGGATTTTTTCATCTTTTTTTGCAGATTTCTGCTACACCATTTATCCATATTTTTCTTGGTCTGCCTCTTGCCTTCCTCCCAGATGTTCTGCTGCAAAAAGTCTCGTATGCAGTTTGGTCTGGCTGCAGTCTCACTAGATGGCTGAACCATTTCATTCTTTGTCTGTCAGTATAATCCAGACATAGTCTTATTCCGACTTTCTCTCTAATGCTGGTGTTTGTTTTTTTTTTTTTTTTTTTTTTACTAATCCAGAAACCATGAGTTGTAAACCCTTTGGCTCGGTACTATGGATTTCGCAACCCTTCGGCATTGCTTCCATTATAGGTACCGTTAATCTGGGAGAAATGTGGCTTTTCTGCCTACCCCCAGGAGTGAACCCGGACCACAAGGAGTTCGTCACCCGGCCGCCGCGAAAGTCAGGTTTAACCAACTTCGCTAGAGAGCCGGGCGCTGGTGTTTGTAACCCCTGTCTCTTCTTGTCTCCTGTGTATTAACTGTTGTTATTTAATTTTGGCTTTTGAAATTATTGTTAGTCTTGTTCAGTCTTAAATGTTATTGGTGACCTGTTAATCTATATTTACAGTATCTGCTGACACTGAAGCTGCCTCAGGCTGATATACTTGATGTATTTAATGGAATTCACTTCCTACCTTTGGACAAGAACACCTACCTTCGAATCCAGTGCTTCATCAACAGTCTGGAGGCAACATTCCCTTTCGTGAAATATACAGCTTTCCTTTACAATGAAAAACTTGTCTGGTAATGTTTGTTTTTTGTTTTTTTGTATTTTGAATATTTCCCATATTATTCCCATATTATAACAGTTTCATACATTTATAATTTTACATTATGTTGTATACATTTGTAATATTGTGAAAGTTTAATACTTTTTTTTTTCTTTTTTCTTCCTCTTTTGTCTTATTGCTTGTGCCATAAAGCATAGCAGAGAGGAGTTTGATGTAATTTCCTGTCTTTTGCTAGTTGCATAGCTTATGTTAATGTTATATAGCGTTTCTCTAGTGTCTCTTTTTTTCAACTTCTACCTGTATCTTTTTCTTACCTTGAAGCCTGCTGTTCTCATGTAGTCTCCTGTAGTATGCTGAAGCTGCTGGCTGGTTTTGTTCAGAGCTGACCAGATGACCCTGTAATAATTTATTCTTGCCTGTCGGCTTGAAGGTCTTTGATTTGAAACAACAATAGGGTGAAGCTCGTGTAAATGACCAAGGCACCCTGGTATCGGAAAATATTTAGGGAAGCAAAGTTGGGCAGCACAATGTTAACATCACCCGTTGAGTGTCGATTGGACTATGGAAAGCATCTATCACTAAATGTTGATTAACCAGTGGTGTAAAAAAAGTCCTTTATTGTTCATAGACCATCCACTATAGCATTGGTCATCTTGTCTGACCACAGCATTCAATTTTTCCCACTGCTAATCTTTTCTCTTAGTCTCACCCAGCTCTGTTTCCTTCCACCTTTCCTGCGTCCCTATCTTCAGCAGCAAGCGAAGAGTTACAGTTCTGATGGTACCAGTAACTGTCTGATTGTATATTCGTCTCACCTTTCCCTTGAGTGTCAGATCCCCTTGTAACCCCTCGCAGTGCCATTCTCCACAGACTGTAATGATGTCTATGCCTCCGCACTGTTCACACGCTCCCAAAGGGCCCTCACAACATCCAGCTTGTCATACATCAGTTCACCACCATGTGGTGCAGAACTGACCAGTCTATCAACCTGCTCATTTCCCAACACACCGGCATAACATGGAGAAAATATCCAAAGGATGCTGACTACCTGGGACCTTTGAAGTGATGCTTGCCGCTCTGTATGGAGAAAGCCTGTCTCCACCTTTCTCAACATGATCTGTGAGTCAGTTACAATGATGGCATGGTGTACAGCTGATTCTCAAGCGAGCGGAAGGCAGCAGTGAATGCCTCTACTTTCATTCTCAAAATATACATTGTGATATAATATGCCAGGCTTTGTTGCACCAAGTGAGGTCCATTTGCCTTCACAATGAACCCCCATGCACTTCATCTGCCTCTCAACACAGAGCCATCTGTAAAGACAATTACATCGCCTGGGTGAAAATTGTCATGATCATTTGTTGAACTTCTGATTCTGCAGCGCCAGCTGGCCAGTCCCTACACTCACGTCCCAAATGAATAAGAACCCTACACAAGTCTGAAACCTGATCAAACACTTTGATCCACTCCTTTCCTTGCCTAAATTTATCAAGCCTGCACACATGTCCAATTGTGTCTTCAGCTTGTGCCATCCAAGACTTTCCTCTTTTCAGTCTGTGACCCATAGCTCTACCCAGGGCTTCATGCAGGAGGTGCCTCTTGTTCGCAGCTACTCTGAGATATGACTCTGCTTGCATAACTTTGAGCTTATCTGCAATAGAATGCAGTGCATACATACTACCGGGGTATCTCTTGTACATCCCAGAAATATCTGCATAGCTTCATTCTGTATACGTTCAAGTTTCATAATTTTTAGCTGACTATTACTGTGTACCTGGTGATATACAGAGAAACATGTCAGGCACTGTATTGTGCAAGATGGTGTGTCTTTTTAATTTAGATCCACTAATAGTTTACTCTTTTGCCTATATGTATTTCATTTCTTTAAAGGTTGTCCTGATTAAGTAAATTGTCTTCTATGGGATCACAGAGCTCTCACAAGTTGATATATAGTTTAAGTGTGAATGCTGTCAGGGGCATTTTCATAGTCAACAAGTCCAGTATGAAGAGGGAATTTAATTTCAGTGCTTTGTTTGGTTATTATGCACAATGTGGCGATTTGGTCAGCATTACAAGATGTGCTGAGGGAGACTAAACACCTCCGAGTTTTCCATGATTACACTGATTTGTTCATTAACAGAAATGGATGTGATTTAATTTAACAGTTGCTCATGATGTGAGTTTTCTTATCTGTTATATACAACTCGCAGTTTGTCATTTAAAAGCTGTTATGCTTATTTTTCTTCTTGGTGTTCACCGACCATAGACTTAGGTAGAAAGTTCTTGTTGCTTGTCCACTTTTTTGACTTTGGTCTTGTCCCACAATTTAAAGTTTTGCATGCAAATTTTACAATTTGAATATTTTATGTGCAGACTGTTGGTCCCTGGCATCTCAGGCAGATGCATGGATTTTAAAGGAAATATCCCTAATTAGGCAGCTTTTAGGACATCCTAGTTGGTGGAGGCCATATATGTGTCTGTCCTTCCCCACACCCCTTTCGAAATAGGGCCCCAGAATCCATATGGGGAGAACTGTTATGCCTAACCTGTGGTTTGTCTTCTAGGAGTGGCTTGGAGCAGGAGGACATGCGTATCATGTATAAATACTTGACCACCAGCTTATTCCCAGCCTATATGGAGCAGGAGCTGCAGGGAACACAGAACAGACCTCCCAGTGGAATTGGGCACTACGGCAAGTAAGTTTGTGTGTGTGTGGTGTTTTTTTTTATTTAAAAAAAAATTTATTTCACACACTTCATTCATCAGTCAACGGGTGTTTTACAGAACTTTGCTCTCTTCGTTGCAGACCTGAACATTGCTTTGTTCTGTTGCCAGTTCTTCAGCCCTATGTGCTTTCATATCTAGTGTATGTTCATTGTCTTGTATCCAGCTTCCTGGAGGTCAGGCTCTGCATCATTTTTCAGAAACTGCACCCTTTAACACCGTTCTCTCCACTATGACACTTTGGGAACAAGCAACGGAATCAGTAGAGAAACAAGATTATTATGGCCAGGAGAGAAAGAGGCACCTAGGTGTAACCAGAGGGTCTGGCCGGCTCACTACACTCAGAGGAAAGGCAATAAGGACATATAACCAGATTGTGGCTGCTGAAGATGAGGACGGGGCACACATGGGAATGCCCCGCGTGCTGTGATGTTAATTTTTGACTCAACTCAACTCTCTACACTTTGACACTTATCTAGGCCAAAATACCACACTGTACAGTGGGCACATTTGACTGTACAGTGGGCACATTTGACAGTACATTGGGCACATTTGACTGTACAGTGGGCACATTTGACTGTACAATGGGCACATTTGACTGTACAGTGGGCACATTTGACTGTACAGTGGGCACATTTGACTGAAGTGTGAAAACCTCAACTCTGCCCTACAAAAAAATGTATTGAACCATTTTAATGCCACTAGGGTATTGAGCATATGGTGTAAGATCTATCCTTTCAGAGACTTATTAGCACTTGATATGCGGCGTCTGTGGCTTAGCCGTTGCGAGTACGACTCGTAGTTCCATTGTACCACAATCAAAACCCACTACTGACAGTGGATTTTTATCATGTTATGAAGAGTCGCACGTCGACCCAGCCCTAAATGAGTACCAGGATTTATGTCCTGGGGAAGTAAAGATCGCTGGCATAATGCTGACCACATTAACCCACCTAATGCCGATTGGTCTGTGAAAATATGGGTGCTCTTCCTGTATGCCCAATGCGCCTAAAGGTGTGAATAGGGATCTTTACTTTTTGCTTTACTTAGCACTTGATGGTTGATGTGATAACCACCTTTTCTTCTCAGGGAAATTCCTGGTACTTATTTTAACCTAGTTGACCTCTGTCCTTTTCCTAAAGGAAAATAGGGATCAGATGTTTGTGATGTGGCATGTCCTTGTTAATTAAATCTTGACCCAACCTTGAGAAGCACTCTCTCTCTCTCTCTCTCTCTCTCTCACACACACACACACACACACATGTACGCACACGCGCATGGTTTCCCACCTAGTAGCAGTGACCTCAAATTTTACTGTGGCTACTTTATCAATTTGGTATCTTTAATAAATTTTCATTCATTGTTCTGTTTTACCATTATGTGTCACATAGGATGCACAGTCTATTTCTCTATTCTGTTTTACCTGCATTCACTTTGCTATCATGGATTGAATCCAGTCTGTGCCTTTGGCTTCTCTCATCGACTTTCGTCTTAGAGTTTCTCTTGTGCATCTTTGTTTCCTCAGTCCCTCTGTTTCCCATGCCTGTTATTCTCTATCTCTTCTTAGAATGATCCAGTATAGCGCCATCTTCTGTCTTATAACTGTTGATACTAGTGGTTGCCCAGATATTTCTCTTATTTCTTCACTGCTCTCGAATTCATCCCATTTGATATTCATAATTTTTCTCTGTCATTTGTTTTCTAATTAATGAATATGTGTGATGTTTACAACTAAAGTCTTAGAAGCATATATTTTGTCATTAGGTTTATGACCGGCCCGCCTGATTTAAGCAATGATCGTAACATGGGAAAGCTGCCTCGTGTCTTTGTGAACACAGAAGAAATCGATGAAGAATGCTACCTGATGGTGTACACAGCCTTGAGTGCCACAATATGCATGCTTGTTAATGGTAAGAGTTTATATCTCTGTGTGTTGTGTTGTTGTATGTTTTGTTTTATATTCATTTCATGTCTTTGCTTGTATTTTATGAAGGAAAAAGAAAATTGTTTATTGTTTTGTTGGCGTCTGTGGCTTAGGCGTTACAAACGCGCTTTTAGGTGCTGGGTTCGCTCCCAGCTGTGGGTCTTGCACCTTGCCGTTGGTTTTGACAGTGGTATCGAGAAGCCGACCGTCCAGAAAGCAGTGGCAAACTACTGGACGTAAACTTGCCTAGAAAAACCACAACAGCTAAAAAATGCTGGGGTTGGTTCTTAAATGATACGCAACTAACAATATAATTTTTTTTTTATATTTAAATACTGTTAGCACCGAATCTATGAAAAAACACGTTACAAAGTAAACTGTCTTTAGGTGATTTGTTAACAGATATATGGATCATGTCTCACAATTTTTTTTTACCATGCATAACAAAGAGACCTCCCTGTGTAAGTTCCGGGAGCCCCATTGGGGGGGTGCAGAATAGACCTTCTGCCTCCCCAGCAAGCATGTCGTAATGTAGACTAACTGGGGGTTTCCTTCGAAATTGGAGTGCATCATCCTGAGAGGCAAGGAACCAGCAGTCTGCATACACATAAGACAGTGCATGTAACATCCAGGTTCTGAAACAAGACTAAAGACCTGAGGAAGATGAACAGCCAGAACTTTCCACTGGAAAGTGCAGCACAGAGGATAGAAAACAATAACAGGGGATAGTGGTGCTTACCATGCAGCTTCTCAATCATGACCAAGGAGGCAACCACCAGGCAACTTCTCAAACATAGCCATTGAGATAACCACCATTTCTGAAGCATTTGCAGGAGCAGCAGAACAAGCAGCCACACGTGCAGTAATAATTTCACATAGACCTACACACTCAGATGTGGGTTGAGAGATAAAGTATTAACTGGCAAGTAATGATGCATCAATCCAATGCATGTGGTAAGAAACATGTGCAGAGCCGATATCATCAACGCTGTTTGGACTAGGCTGGGTAATATTTACTAGTTTCTGATACTAGCATGATCACATGACCTTGAGTAAAGCCTGGTGAAGCATGACTGTGCCATTTTCGAGGTCAAGAGAGGGGACATTTTAGGGTGGCAGCTGCATTAGAGGGCTGAGCACGCATGAGAATGCTCAGTGTGCCGTGACATCAATTATGATAACATAAAATCATGTACCAACTTATTTCCATCCTTCTTCAGGTTCATCGGCCGTAAACTCTAGTGAATAGTTTCAGTTGATCATCCACTTTAAGCGTTATTCTTGTTTCAGAACTTGCAGAGATTTGCATGCACATCCGTTTTACTGGCTTATTTGTGAGCAGACTGTTGGTTCCTCACCTCTCAAACCGATGCACTCTGACTGTGAAGTACACACCCCTAATTAGCTGACTTTTACCACATCCTTTTTGACAGCCTGTGGATCTGGCTCCCATTCCTCCCCACCCTCCCCAGTTGGGACCCTAGAACTTACACAGGAAGTCATTTCCATTCTGTGATGCAAGATTTTCTTTTATCTTTCTTCACTCTGTCCTTTTTATTTTCTTTTATCCAACCAGTTGCTATAATCTGTTCTAGCTTTCTCTTCATGGCCAAAAAATGGCAGCTGTTTTTTTTTTTCCGGTAGGTATACATGAAAAGGGAGTCGCCGTGGCCGAGCGGCTAGACGCTCGTCGCGGATCGGAAGGTCGTGGGTTCGCTCCCTGCCAGAGCCAGACTTTTTTCTAAAATGACTTTGGCTCCCAGGTTGACCCAGCCTTGAGTGGGTACTGGGTGCAGTCCCGGGAAAATAAAGGTGTCCGCCGTGATGCTGTCCACATCACCCATCTTGTGCCAATTGGTCTATGAAAATATAGGTCTAGCCCTATATGCCTGATGGCGTGAAAAAGGGTCCTTTACTTTTTTACTTATACATGAAAAAGCTTTATTTACTTCAACAGTGTCAAATCGATGCTCAAATTTGTATTATTATTTGTTATGCGTAGTTTTTAAAGTGTATGTACAAGCTGGCATTATACTTATTCTGAGTTGGATTTCACTTATTACAGTGAAGAGTCCACTAAATGTTCCACTTTGTCGAAAATTGGATACTTTTCTTGGACCAAAAATGACCAAGTTGGCAACAGACATCAGTGAGCAGTACAGCAAGAGAGTTGCAGCTCTGAAGTAGGTATATTCATGTTTTAGCAGATGAAACGGAGAGCTACATAAATATTATTTTTCACTTCTTGATTCACTGATTTTTATGTAGTTCTTTCCGTAAGCTGTGTATTACAGATTATATAATACCATTTAATTCCATCTAGTCTGGGCAGGCACCAGTTAAAATCTGCAGTAGTACAGTTTGTAAATTTGACCTAGTTTTTCCAGACCAACTGGGCAAAATGGCCAGCAGATCATTGCCACTCTGAAGAGTTGTTAGTGTTCAGCTAGAATTTGTTTTACAAATTGTTTTAGTCATTCCCCATGATTTGGCTCTATACATGTGTAGTGATGTGACACCTAAGACTCAAATCTCTTCTTACCTTTTCTTTTATAAAAATATTTAAAAAATTGACATTTAACGTTTTATACTTGTTTCCTTGTATTTGTCTACGTTGCTGCCTAAATCTTCAGACTGGTTTTATGAAGGAAAGATTAGGGTTTTTTTTTTTTGGGGGGGGGGGGGGGGGGGGGGGGGAGGGGAGTGAATTTTTAGACCTAACTATTGTGATTTTCCATCAAGTTTTTTTTTAAATAAACCATTATATTATCAAGAACATTAGTTGAATTGGGTTAATAAAATGCTGTTTCTAATGTGGGTAACAAATGCCTTAAGAAGTTTTGATTATCACAGACATTGTCACCGCACATTGGTCATTACTCCAGTGCAGCAGCCAACTCTACTGATTGTTCTCATGAAAAGTTATAGTGTCTCACATATTGACTTCTAAGATGGCATAGACATGCTTCACCAGGCTTGACTGTGTCATGTAATCATGTCAGCGTCAGAGACTTGTCATTCTCCCTGATTTGGATGTATGAATCAAAAGGAACAGATATCATGGCTATGCTTTAAACAGATATAACATATATTCTTAGACAAACAAAGAAAAAAAGCTGCATGGTGATGGATTAAATCTAGAAAACTGTTTAGTAACTGAGTACACTCATCATTATACCACTGCATTCACAGGCTACTGTAAGTATGTCTCAGGTTAATCAGTCTCAAGGCTGAAATAAAGTCATTGTCTTTTCATTTCACCAAAAAGCTAGTTTTTAAAAATATAGGTCAAGCCCTATATGCCCTATACACCTAAAGGCGTGAAAAAGGGTCCTTTACTTTTACCTTCTAAAGCTGGACTTGGAATGGGTGAAGGCCTAATATTTTGCACCCCAAAGCAAGTATCTTATACCTTTAGTTACTTTATTATTATTTCTCTCTTCATTTTGTATTGTTACCATTTCTTGTTCACTGATGAAGGCTTTTCATTGGAACTTCCTCAGTTTTGTGTAATTATGGTGTTGGCATCCTAAAAGATCTGAACATCTAGGAAGATTGGTTCGTAAAAAACATCTTTTTTTTTCCGGAAACTGAAATATTTTTGATATATCAAATTTTAAAATGGTGGATTGGAAAGAACAGTACAGATGGCATAGTGCCAGGAAAGAGGTGCACCTGCATCTCCACTTGCCGACTAACACAGAGACAGGCACTGGACTTTTGGCAGAAAAATGAGTTCTTTTGCAATATCTTACCCCAGTAATGTCACAGAACAGTCTAACATTTTAGAGGATGGTAAGACTGGGTTTCCCGGCTTTCTGATGGTTTTAACAATCCTGAAACATCTAGAACTGGCCCTAATTCCAACCCACCTATGTCCCACGAGATAGTGCAGCCTACGTCCCACGGCTGCATGCAGCCTATGTCACACGACTGCACGCAGTCTATCTGCCACCCACTAAAAAATATTAGACTGTCCCGTGACCTGTGGATTTCCCCTGTTTGGGTTGGGGTAGGATATTGATAAAGCACAGAAAAGTGCATTAGGTGGAAGAGCTGCAAAAGACTCAAAGTTTTTTTCGTTTTTTTTACAGACTGGCTGTGTTGGAAGAGACATTCTGTAAAGGACCTGGTACAAAATGATGATGTTTTGTAAAGCTGACATACATTTGGTATTCTATAGTTGTCTTATTTCATTTATGTTATTTTTATTACAACTTATAAGAATCTAAATACAGCATACAAAACTAATACACATATGTGTGTTCGTCCATATTTCAGCACTACAGATCCAGTCTTCAAGTATGTTTATTTTAACCATATGAACCTGGCACAGCAGACTACCGTACATATTGACCTGCAGAAAAGGTCAGGGGTTAACATTCCTCCGGATATTCTACGCTTGCTAGGTGACATCAATGCTGACCTCTCAAGGTGAGTTGAATACGCTTATATACAGGTTTAAAATTGATCAACCTCATTATCGCATATGCATTGACTTCTCTCAGCCCAGCAGCTAGCCTCCTGCCGAGGATACTGCATAAACTATGACCGCCACAGCTTCTAGCGATAATCCTCAAAGATTTCTAAATTTTTTTAAAAAATGTAATGCGCTCTTGAACCAAACAGTAAAGTCAAGAAATAACCCTTTATCTTCAGAGCATGATTTTAGCAGTTATCAGATGTATACTTTATTATTAAGTGAACATCAAAATGAACAATGAATACTTCTTCTTCTTCTTCTTCTTCTCTTCCACCTTGTACCTCATCGAAGTGTCGGGCTAGATGTAATGTTCGTTGATGAGCTCTGTCAAGAGCACTATTAAGACTGATGTTCATTTCTGTAAGGCTGTTCTTAATGCCATCACTCCATATTTTCCGAGGTCTTCCACTCGCTTTATACCCGTTGTAACGTTTTAGTGTGGCTCGCTGTGGCAGATAGTACCAGGGCATTCTTGTTAGGTGTCCAAACCATTTCATTTGTTGTTCTTTGATGACCTGTAAGACTGGCTTTATTCCTAGCATTCGTCTGATTTCATGATTTTGTATTCTGTCTTTCCTTGAAACTCCTGCAGCTCTGATTCCTTTTTTCCCCATACATTCCCACAACATATTCCTGTCGACTCTATCGAAGGCTTTTTCTTGGTCTATGAATGTCAACAAACATGTCTTATCATGTTCTATTGCCCTCTCTGATAGTTGTCTCAATGTATAAATGGCATCTGTGCAACTTCTGTTTCGTCGAAAGCCCATCTGTGCTTCTGAAAGTTGATACTTTATCAATGGTCTCAGCCTTTTTTCGATGATCTTAGCATACATTTTCCCAGTGTGACTGAGAAGTGATATTCCTCTGTAATTAGTACATTCCCTCTTACTTCCTTTATTTTTCCACAGCGGGACAATGACAGCAGTTTGCCAATCTGATGGTGTTTCTTGATTTTCCCATGCCACCTGAAATATTCTCTTTAACCATATTGCTCCCGTTTCTCCTGCTGCCTTGATGGCCTCAGCTGGTAGATCATCAATACCTGTCGCCTTTAGTCTAGGCGCGGTTCGAATGACATATTTTACCTCATCCAATAATATACCTGGTTCTAGTTCCTCTGCTGTTAGTTCCGAGTTGTTTTTATGTTCTTCCCTGCTTTTATCTGTTTTATTGCAGCTAAGTAATGCTTCAAAGTAATTACTCCACCTTGCTAAGATTTTAGTAGGTTCTATTAAAGGTTGGCCAACTTCATAATTTATAATTTCTGTTGGGTTGTATTCTTCATTCCTGTTTCTCATGCCTTTGATTTTTTTTGTAGTAGTTTTTCACTGCTGATCTTTCTTCTTCAGCCAGCTTGCTTCCAAACTTTTCCCATGAATCTCTTTTTGCTTTTCTGATAGTTTTATTTACTTCTCTTCTAATTTTCCTGAATGTTATGTAATCCTATTCTGTTCTGCTCCTCAACCAAATGCCATAAGCTTTCTTTTTACTGCTCACAATACTTCTTATTTCTTCAGACCACCATGTTGAGAGCTTACGCCCTATGTTATCTTTCCTTTTAGTTCCACATATTTCTTGTGCTATTTTCATATTGGTGTCTCTGAAATTCAACCATTCTGTATTTACCCCAAGAGTGTTTTGTGAAAGCTGTTCATAATTTTCCTGTAATTTTTGCTGAAAGGCTCACCTGATTTCTGCACACTCTAGTTCTTTCCATTTTATTATGTCACTTTTATTACATTTCTTTTTGGTTTGATAACTTATCTTGATTTTTCTGTCAAGGATCACCATCCTATGATCTGTATCTAAACTCAAGTTTGGTATAACTCTCGCATCTGTAACTTGATGAAAGTCTCTTTTTCTCGTCAAGATGTAATCAATGTGACTCTTGGTATCTGGATCATTCCATTTATACCATGTAAAAACTTGTGAACCTCTATGTTGAAAAAAGGTGTTGGTAATAACAAGGTCATGTTGTGCACATATATCCAACAGTCTTTCGATGAATACTGACAACAATGAATACTGCTAACTGTAATACACTTAAAGTCTGTTTTGTTCCTGTGTTATGTATGTGTATTTTAAACTAACATATCTTTTTGCCTGCATAGTCTGACAGCTTCTGTAAAGTTCAGCAATTTTGTGTTCAATACAGCACATTGTTCTGCCTAATTTTTATGTTGATTTACTTCTGAAGTATGCGCCTGACAAGATAAAGTGCAATCTTCCAGGTAATTAATCATGCACTTAGTAGCTTTTGTCCTAACTATTCCAAAACGAGACGGGAAAATATTGTTTTGAATTTTTCTGAAAGCATTTTCACTGTAAGCAAGTAGGTGGTGACTGAGTAGAAGATTTTTTTTCACCTCTCACCCCAGAAACACTCTTTAGACAAGTCAGAATGTCAGAATCCATAAGAATATCCCCCCAAAAATTCTTTTGAAAGGGGTCACAGGTCACTGATTCATTTTTTTAAATAAATGTTTATCTGCAATTTAAAAAAAATTTTTTAAGGGAGTATAATAAACATGAATGGAGTATTAAATTGAATACATTCTCCGGGGCCTTAAGGATATGTATCGGGTGACTCATGCCCTGAACTTGTGATATCTAACACTGACACTGCGGGAAACTTATGGTGTCATTGGCTTTTTAAACGCCATTTTGTTCCCTAGAAAATCTCCCCTAAATGCTATTGTTTAATAAATATATTAATATTCGGACATCCTAAACACTGTAAAGGTGCACAGAGAAACATTGGTGTTCAGTTTGTTTTTCTAAGTCAAGCCACTAGAAGAAGAAGAGTAAGTAGCATTTACAGGAAAAGTCACGGACGGGAATGTTTGATTTGAGGCATCTCCAGGGGACAGGGTTAAACATTATTGTTGCTGAAAGATGTTTACTTAATGCCTCACTGCATACATTTATGTGGTGATTAAGACCATGTGTGCTGATGATGCTTTATATTAAAAGCATGTGTGCTATCAATGCTTCATATTATATCTTATGTGTACTGATAGTGCTTCATATGTGTGTGTGTGTGTGTGTGTATATATATATATATAAATATATATATATATTTTTTTTTATTCCATAGAGGGAATGAAGATGGTGAGACAGTTGTGAAAACAAATTCAGACTATTGGGTAGTTGGCAAGAAATCTGATCAAAGAGAGTTCTATGTAGTCATCAATCAAAGAAATGCCAACTTAATTGAGATCAACGGTAAGTTTTTAATTCACCTTCTGTGCTCTGTGTAGTCATCAATCAGAGAAATACCAACCTAACTGAGATCAAGGGTGAGTTTTTAGCTCACCTTCTGTGGTCTATGTAGTCATCAATCAGAGAAATACCAACCTAATTGAGATCAAGGGTAAGTTTTTAGCTCACCTTCTGTGGTCTATGTAGTCATCAATCAGACAAATGCCAACTTAATTAAAATCAATTGTCAGTTTTTAATTCACCTGCTGTGTTCTGTATAGTCATCAATCAGAGAAATACCAACTTAATTTAGGTAAAGATACATTTTTAATTTACTTTCTGTGTTCTGTGTAGTCATCAATCAAAGAAATACCAACTTAATTTAGATAATGGTAGGTTTTTAATTAACATTTTGTGTTCTGTGTAGTTATCAATCAGAGAAATACCAGCCTAACTGAGATTATTGGCTTAGTTTAATGGAACATTGATGCAGCCTTCTTATAGATCGCTGAAATTGTTTGGATACAATGGTGGATTCTGCTTGACTGCCACAAGACTGTGAGCATTTATACTCGCTTGCCCTTGACTGAAAAATTCAAGTTTCAAGTTGAGAGGATTGAAAATTACAGAGAGAAATATGACTCCTTTTCCAGTCCGGATTGATGGATATTTGATTGCAGCCCTGGGCTGCCATTTATGACAATTTCACTAAGAGCACAAGACATTCAAAAATTCAATTCAGTTTGACATGATCAGTCACTTGTGGAGCTATTGAGGAGAAATTAGGGCATCTGTTTGGAGTGCTACTGCATATGACAGTCCTCACTAACTAACTTCAAAGTCAGAATGCAGCTGCCCAAAAGGTCAGGAAACTGTCTGCATACAAATAAAATAAACCAGATCTGTAAAATGGATATGCATGCAAAACTCAGATCAAGACCAGGGTCCAGAAGTGGATGAACAGTCAGAACTTTCCATGAGAGTTTATAACTGGTGAACACTAAAAAGAAAAGATATACCACCAGATAGGCCCCAAGGCATGCAAAGGGTACTTAAATTTTTTCTATATTTTCACTTATCCTTGCAAATATCCAGGAAATATGAAACACTGTCCCACATGGGTTCTAGTACACCATTTTGGATGAGGAGATGGTGGAGAGTAGACCAACTTCCCCCCAAGCATGTTATTAAAGGTGCCTAATTATAAGCTTACTGAAATAGAAATGTCTTGAGCTGAAAGCTGTAGATATCACACCCTGGCTGTAAACCACAACACAGCATGCCTGCCACCCCTTTAAGGGTGAAAGCAGCAGAAGAAGAAGCCACATTGTCTATCTGTTTTCCTGACTGAGCTACTGCCTGACGATTTTACCATCCGTCTGACTTAAGAGTCCATTCTGAATGGGAATCCAGTCGGGCAAAACCCAGATACTCCGTTCAGCTTCCAAAAATATTATAATTAGAGTATCCCTAATGGCTACATCAATCAGTATACCATGCAACGAGAAAGCTGATCAACTGGCAGGAGAAGGTTCGACAAAAGTGCAGCAGGATGTACCAGTCACATACCACCAAAAGAAAAGAATCATTAAATCAATCAGGAAACCACCAGCCCCAGCACAAGACGATTATTTTATTATGGACAGATCAGAACAAGTCATTATCCTCCACCTCCGAACAGGGCACAACCGATTACGTAACCACATGTACACAAAATTCAAGATAGGCATATCAGCCATGTGCACCTGTGGAAAGGTGTCCCAGACAGCAGAGCATGTACTTCAGGACTGCACCGAATTTGACACATTAGGGCAAACCTTTTGGCCAGAAAGAACAACAGTAGAATGTAAACTCTATGGACCACTGAATGAATTAACAACAACAGTGAAATTTACACAAGAGACAAAATTGCTGATATAGACAACTTTTTTCAGGCAAACGAAAGAAGAAGAAGAAGATACCATGCAGTCCTGTGTGGGTAAGGGATTATAGGAAAGATTTTTGTTTTTAAAATTTCACCCCTTCAGGATTGCAACTTAGAAAAGTGACACTCAGTGGCTCAAGGAGTCGCTATTAAGCTGCAAATACAGCAAGAGCAAATCCCACTTACCTTTAACCAAATCTTCTTCATGTTCACTGGCTGTAAACTCTAGCCGAAAGTTCTGGTTGTTCGTCAACTTCTGGACTCTAGTCCTGGTCCAGAATTTGAGTGTTGCGTGAACATTCGTTTTACAGATCCAACTCATCTATCTGTATGCAGACTATTGGTTCCTTGCCTCCCACGGAGATGTACTCTGACTTCGAAGTTAGTTTCCAGTAGGTTGACGCTTACGATATGCTTTGGATAGGCAATGGGTCTAGTCTTGTTTTTCCCACAATGGGACACTGGAACCCACACAGGGCTTTTAACCATATAAAACAGGTATATTGGAGTACCCTATACTTGTCAAATAGCCTGCTGTCTTATGGCTTAAGTCACGTTCAAACACTGTTAAACTTTTTTCCAGAAACCTAGAGTAACAAGAATTTACTATGTTTTCTTTATAAAGTTATTTGAAGTCTTTAAATATTGGCCAAAATTATTTTTTTAATGCTCTCTTTCAAACATTATTTTGTTCTTACTTTCAGAGGAAGTGAAGAGGTTGTGCACCACCTACTTGAACAGTATATTCTTTCTGGACTAACACGGCCAGTCAGCAACGTGATGCACCATTCTTCACAAACAGGGCAAATAACACTGAGCTGCAGGGAAATATAAAATTGTTTATCAGTTCTATTTTTATAACATGGATTATGTGTATATTCTGTTTTTGCTACGAGTTCAGATATTTTTCATTGATACCAAATGATTTCATGATTGTATAGTTCAGTTGTAATATTTAGGAGAATTTGTTAGACACATTCTAAAGGGCCACATGAACTATTAGAGCAATGGTTCTCAACCTGTGGGTCACGACCCTCTTGGAGGTCGAATGACCCTTTCACAGGGGTCGCTTAAGACCACGGAAAATACATATTCAATGAAGTTATGTAATAGCAATGGAAACAATTTTACAGTTGGGGGTCACCACTACATGAGGAACTTTATTAAAAGGTCGCAACATTCGGAAGGTGAGAACCACTGTATTTGTTTAAGAGTATGACTTTATTTATTAATTGTTGTATTGATATTTCTCTGATATTTCAGTTCTTTACTTATTTAGAACATAGGGTACACCAGGATAGTAGTCTGAATAGCCATGATTGTTGCCCTATTTATAACTTCCTAAGAGGCTGAATGAGGTGTATGGAATTAGTCCTGTTCGATTGACTTCCAAGATGTGTTTCTTTGAGCCACAGGTGTGACAGAACATCGAGTAGCAGCCTGGTTGGGGAAAAGAGTCAACAGTAGTTTTAAAAGTCTACTGGAATAAGTTGAAAAAATTTAAATCCAATGGAACCTCATTCAGATATCTAAATAAGGTATAAGCTCAAAAATGAATATTTGGGGGGGGGGGGGGGGGGGGGGGGGGGTGGGGTCATTTCATTGTTCAATCAGTTCTAGTTTTTTAAAGATAGTTGCAAAACTACCCGTTACTGTCTGTATTTATCATTTTTGCTTTGTAGATGGGAAAGGAGGGAGGGGTCTTTTAGACTGAGGATTTAGGGCTGAGCGGCTAATGCTGTTGCCATGGACTGTGCAGGTTCAGTTTCATTCAGCATCATCATCATGTAGCAGGTCCTTTGCAGAACGTTGCTCTCATCACAGTCTGCCTGAAAGAAACTCGGTCCCTCGCCAGTTCTCTCGCCTCATGAACTTTCACACTCAAGGAGTCACTTATATTCTGTGCCCATCTTCGTGTCGGTCGGCCCCTGCCCCTCCTTCCTGGTACCATGCCTTCTGCTATAATATTTTCCAATCCGTCATGGCGTTTGAAATGATCAAAATATTTCAGCTTTCGAGAAAGGATGCTGTTTATTAGCCAATCTTCCTTGATGTTCAGATCTTTTAAGATGTCAATATTTCTCATCTTCTTTGACCAAGATATTCTGAGAATCTTTCTATAGCATTTCAGCTCAAAAGCCCCTATTCTCTTTCTTAAAGACTGAGAGATAGTCCACGACTCACATTCGTATGTAGCCATAATTACAGTAATTTGCTTTATTATGATAATGTATGTTCTAATCTTTATCCTTTTGAGTTTTGATTAAATCTGGTCGTGATTGTTGTTCACATCATTCAGGGAACATGTTTGTGTAAGATTTGTGTCATGAGTTTAGGTTCTGTGATGTCTGTTGAACAGTTTTTGGTTGAATCGGGGTTGACACTGTATGGCAGACATATCATTGCAGTAGTTTACATGACACAGTCTCAGAGAAGGATATGTTATGTGTGTGTGTGCATGTATGTGGAAAAAAAAGTCGGGAGATGTGAACCAGTGTCATTGCACACGGTTATAAACCATAAGTGCTCTCCCACCAGTAGGGACAGCTGATAAGAAATGTTTCGCCTGTGTCGCCGTCCACACGCAACTCTTTAGCTACAACGATGTTCCTCCATTTACCCCAGAGTGTTAACTCTGGTACCCATTACCTAAAGGCTGGGTGAACCCTGGGAACCGCCCAGTTTCGAACACTGGCCGTGGGCTCCAGAGAGTCGCAGCTGGATTTAAAATCGAGTCTCCTGTCAACTGCGCTAATGCGGCCAAGCATGTATGTGGTCTTAATTCAAATAAATTTTAACTCTTTCAATACAACAGGGTCCTCCATGTGGGTTCTGAGTCTTCATGGCAGAACAAAAAGGGGGAAGGGGGAGAAATAGATCCTCTGGCCCTTACCAAGTATTTTCTCAAAGATCAGGGACTGAGTGGTCTCCAGGTATGGCATCTGCCTTGAGTGCCTTAGGTCCCAGGTTCAAACCCTGGTGAAGGCTGGGATTTTTTCACTTGGACTTCTAGTAATTTCCTTTGGTCTCTAGGTAGTAAGACCGTGTGTATCGACACGCAAGTAAAAAAAACCTTAGCAGTTGGAAATTGAAAAAGAGTAGCCTAACGATACTGCCCGGGCAAAATTTGGAGCTAAAAATCTACTCAAAGTATTTCAGGATCCTTACCGTTGCAATGGAGTTCATTCACTGTGCTAAGATTCTTAAGACTCGGGCTTGAGTCAGAAGTAGAAAAGAGCCCTTATAAGTTACACCTGTGTGCCATGATGTTGTTCCATTGAACAAACAAAGAATTTTCAAAGATGGCTAAATATAGGTTTGCTTTAATTGTATGTGGTTAGCTTACACTGAACATTTCTTGATACTAAAACACTTTTAATAAAATGTCTGAAGTAGTCACACATGTGGTTAGCTTACACTGAAAATTTCTTGGTACTGAAACACTTGTAGTAAAATGTCTGAAGTGGTCACACCTGCGGTGAGCTTACACTGAACATTTCTTGGTACTGAAACACGTGTAGTAAAATGTCTGAAGTGGTCACACATGTGGTTAGCTTACACTGAACATTTCTTGGTACTGAAACACTTGTAGTGAATGTCTGAAGTAGTCACACATGTGGTTATCTTACACTGAACATTTCTTGGTACTGAAACACTTGTAGTGAAATGTCTGAAGTGGTCACACATGTGGTTAGCTTACACTGAACATTTCTTGGTACTGAAACACATGTAGTAAAATGTCTGAAGTAGTCACACATGTGGTTATCTTACACTGAACATTTCTTGGTACTGAAACACTTGTAGTAAAATGTCTGAAGTGGTCACACCTGTGGTGAGCTTATACTGAACATTTGTGTTTTTGAATGCTGATTTAATAAATATGATTCAAATATGCAAGAATTGTTGCACTGGTGCGAATGTATGTGTGCATGTATCCCCTACTCCCCTCCTTCCCCCCCCCCTCCACATCCTTAAATTCTTTGGACAGCAGGATATACCAGCATTGGTTGTGCTTAGTGTAGCTGTTACAGGGCCCTAATTAAAAACTCTCAGGAGGTGGACTGGGTGTCTGGGATTTGCCCTTGTAGACTGTCATCCAGGATGTGACTCTTCAAGTCATAGAAATCGTCAAACCTGGAGGGAGACAACAGACTAACAGATAGAAAACAAATGTTTAATCTGGGAATCTCTATGTTGGTTCTGGGGCCACATTTTTGGGTTGAACAAGGTTAGGTCCACTTCCGGTCTAAAATGGAGGACTAGGTCTGGCAGAATTTTTCTTTGAAGTTATTATTGCTTGCGCTTTGCTAATGCAGTTTCCACAAATGGACAGTAGTGTGCAGTTTAGCTACCCTGTGAGCTGTGTTTTTTCGTGTGGAATGCCTTTTATTTATGCAGCGGTTGAGTCATGGTATTCAATATAGCTGGTAGCCAACTTACGTGAAGGCTGGTGAAATCCCTTATGTAATGATTCTACATGTGTATAGCGAACTTAACATGCCCGACTACTTCTATCAACAACAAACTGCGTTTCTGGTGGCTACTGTTGGCTTTAGCGCCTCTAGCAACTGCCATATGCATTTACTGCATGGGCATATTTCTGGATTGTGTTGGGACTAATTGTTTGTTCACCAGTTTTTCAAATGGGACAGTGAGGGATATTTCATTTGATTTTCACTGGCACAGAAATGGAGCAAGTATAGGGCGACCTAGTCAACATCATGTAGGCCACTTTTACTTACCATACATGGCAAAGTTGATTTTGAAAGAATTTGTGAAAGTAGTAAATGCTAAGTATAAATTATTTAAGCAATAGAGGAAGTTAAAGCAGTAATTCGGGGTAGAGTGGTTGCGGTAATACTGGATGGGACACGAGAAAACAGACAATAGACTTCTTCCTTAAGTCACAAAAAGATACACAGTAAGTTCCTAGTACTGTGTTGAGCCATTAGGTTATCAGATAAAAATGTACATGGCCTTAAAGGTACCAGGTGACAATGTATTTGTAGTCATTTTTCAAAAGTTAGTTGCGTATCCTTTACAGGACGTCGCAGAAATAACACCAGTATTTTTTTCACCGTTGTGGTTTTTCTAGGTACATTTACGTTCAGCAATTTGCCATTGCTCTCTAAATGGTCGGCTCTCAAAACCATTATCGAAACCACTTAAGACGGTCTACTATCAAATCGCCTGCAGCTGGGATTGAATCCGGTATTCAGGCATTGAAGCGCATTCGCAAAGCCGACAGATGATAACTTGAAATACACACCAGTCATAAATTTTGTGGTTTCCTCGAGTGGGTTCTAGGACCCCATTGTGGGAAAAACAAGAGTAGATCCACTGCCTCCCCAACAAGCATGTCGTAAGAGTCAACTAATTGGGGGCTTTCTTCAAAGTCGGAGTGCATCTGCCTGAGAGGTAAGGAGCAAGGAGTCTGCATGTAAATAAGCATATAGGACTAGACCTTTATTTTTATAGATCAGTCGGCACAAGATGGATGATGTGGTTAACATCACGCCGGCCGCCTTGACTTTTTGGGACTGCACCCGGTACCCACTCAAGGCTGGGTCAGCCTGGGAGTGGTCATTTAAAAAAAAAAAAGTCTTACTACGCCAGGAAGCGAACACACGACCTTCCGATCTGCAAGCAAGCGTCTAGCTGCTACGCCATGGCAACTCCCAAGTTCCTACAAAGCCAAACAAAAATAAACGACATTGAAAATGAAGTTTAATCATATATTAATTATGGGAAAATTACTACGTCACTACCACCATCACTACTACTGCTGCTGCTGCTGCTACTTCAGTGTTAGGGATTCTTTGCGGCTAACCTTCGCTGTGGCGACAGCACCTAACTGATTCTGCCTTATATTAATGGAACTGACCACAGTTTGCAGTCTCATGATAGACAACCAGAGTAACTAACAACAATTGCTTGAAAGAAACTAATGAAAGTAGATCTCTATATAGAACAATAAGAAAGAGACAAACACTGTTCTTTGGCCACATAATGAGAAGAGAGACATTGGAGAAGATCGTGACAACTGGAAAGATCAGTGGGAAAAGGGGTAGAGGCAGACCAAGAGAGATGGTGCTGGGTGGGCTGAAACGATGGCATGGAGGGATATCATCAAGAGAGCTGTTCCAGTCAACCAGGGATCGTGATCTGTGGTGACGCATGAGCGCCTACGCCAGTAGGCAGAGCACATGATGATGATAGACAACAGTGGTCAGCATCTCATCACCACCGCCATTATCAAGTGCCCTGCCGCCTAATTTGTGTGTGCTTCTTCGCGTCTCACGGTCTATATCAGCACATGTTGAGTGGCTTTCTCCAATGCCACGACAAATGACTCAAGAATCTTCGGAGTGACGTTCAACCGCACCAGGACTACACAACAAGCGATGAACATCCGGTGATACAAAATGCCACAATTCGGATGAGAATTCCCCGCTAATCCCAGAAACCCCGTCCAACCGTTATGTTATATTAGAACCCCCGACAACAGCTGGAGTAAAAGAACCATTCTCCACCCCTTTAGGCGTATTGGGAATATGGGGCTAAAGCTATATTTTTTATAGACCAATCGGCACTTGGTGGCTGATGTGGTCAGCATCACGCCGGCCACCACAATTTCCGAAGACTGCGCCTGGTACCCACTCAATGTTGGGTCGACCTGAGAGTCAAGGTCATTTTAGAGAGAAAAAAAAATCCGGTTCCACCAGGACCCGAACCCAGGACCATGGCCTTCTCTATTTATAAATAGCTCAAGATGGGCGTGCCAAGACCTTCCGATCCGCAGGCGGGCGTCTAGCCGCCAACGCCACGGCGACTCCCGACAGCTGGGTGGGGTTGTTGAATAACAAAAAATTGCGTCACATATAATGGGAAAATGTAAAAAAGAATAATCGCACTCAGTTTTTTTTCAAGTTGTCATAACATTTCCCAAGAATTTTCTAAATTCTTTTAATGAGACCCTTGGTACACAAGCATAATTGAGGGTTTGAACAACGGATCAATATCATCCATGGCACACGGGTAGTAAGTAACCCATAAGTGCTCCGTTCTTCTTCTAACTCAAGTCTGATTCTGAAGAAGCTCAGCACAGTGCACAGTCTCTGTAGTACCGGCGAGGATCATGAAATACTTTTTAACTTTAAATTTTGCCCGGGAAATTTTACGTGCGCAACAATGCACACGGGCGTCCGATCTAACTACCCAGCGACCAGGGGTAATTACTTAAAGTCTATGTCCACGTGAAAAAATCCTAGCCCTTGCCGGGGATTGAACCCGAAACCTCTAGACTCGAGGCGGGCACCATGCCTTGAGATCACGCAGCACAAGTTCAGATTTCCAACATGCTGATACACAACATGAAGAGATAAACTGACTGAAGCCTGTACAAGCCCGTTGTTAAAACGCAGGCAATGAAGGTTTGACACCATTCACCATCGTCCTTTAATGTGTAAACTCCCCGTGTGGGTCCCACTGACAGAGGCGGTTGGACACAGACCTACTACTGCTCCTGAACACGCCTTTCGTAAAACGTGATTAATCTCAGGATTCACTGAAATCGGATGTGTTGCCTTTTTGGGGGGCAAAAGCTGAAGAAGACGAACTGTGGAAACGGCACTCGATGATGATAATTGGTCGTTTGCTGCGGTCAGCCACTCAAATCATTAAAAAACTGTCACCAGGGAAAAATCATGGCGGAGGGACATCGGAATACACTTCTGGCACTCATGCAACAGGATGGGAATAACGAATGTGCCGATTGTGGGGAGAAAAGTGAGTTCATAACATTATTTCAGTTAATGTTTTAGTAGAAATTGTTATTAGGGAGGACACAAATTTAAATAAGGTTTTTAGCTGCTCTCACCGTAACATTTAGACTCAGCGTGCGGTGAGCCATTTCTTCATTTCAGGTGACTCCCTTTTGTTTGATACTTCCTAAATGGCAATTTGTGTATTTTATACTATACTAATATAGGTAGTCGGTTGTAAAAACATGATAAAACTGTGTTAGACATAACAACAAACAAATAGGGAACAATGTTACAATCTGGGGCTCTTAATGAACTCTCTGTCACTCTGTGAACTCTGTCCATATGTGATTCTGATTCTGTCTCCTTTCACTTTCTCCTGAACTGACTCCCCTTTTTCAGTGTGTGTGTACTCACTGTACTGTGTGTGTGTACTCTGTGTGTGTGTGTGTGTGTATATATATATATATATATATATATATATATATATATATATATATATATATATATAAAGGTCCTGTTTCGTGCTCTTCTGGCTGCTTCGACCATGGACACATTGTGGTGCTGTAGAGTTGCTCTGATATTATCTTCCCATATTGTTCATGGTTTGCCTCTTGCTCTACATCTCTCTCCTCTTTTACTAAAAGTTTTAGTATATGTCTTGAATGGTATAGCATTAGAAGACATTTTCTCCAAGTGGGCAAACCATTTGAGGGGCAGGGGCCGGCCGACCGACACGAAGATGGGCACAGGATGTAAGTGACTCATTGAGTATGAAAGTACATGAAGCGGGAGAACTTTCAGAGACCGAGTTTCTTTCAGGCAGACTGTAATGAGAGCAACGTTCTGCAAAGGACGTGCTACATGATCATGATGTATGTAATTTAGAATTGGTTCTGTGCCGACTTTATCTCATAGGATTTCTATAACCTACACAAAAGAGGAGCTTTGTTTATGTTAGACTGTTTGTTGTTGTAGTGGACTTCTGTGTCCACTTTAGTTTCATAGAATAAAAATATCCAGTTAATGGCAATATGTATTAAATGCCTGGACTGGAGCAGACATTGGCTAATATGATTCTCATATCCTCACTGTTTTTAGACATATTGAATAAATGTACATTGCTTCAGTTATTTTTTGTTGCTCAACATTTTTTTTTCCCTGATGCTATTCTTGTATTAATTTCTGTTTATTGGGCGGACTTCAGTCCCAGTTCTCACATTTATTTTCATGGAAGGTTGTCTATGGTGCTTCCCCCACTAATGGGTCCTACCAGCCAGTGCCAGATAGTGAGGCCATAGTTTCAAGAATGTCACTACAGCTTGGAACTTTAGTCATGGTGTGAGTGGGCAGTTCGTGACATTTATAAATTTCAAATCAATGTTGAACTGAGAATTGACATCATAGCCCTCAGGATACTTCTGTAAGTGCTCAGTCCACATCTTCAGCAGCAAATAAAGAGTTACAATTCCTATGGTACCAGTAACCATTTGATGGTTATAAATTTCATATAAACTGAGGCAGCTGCCAGTATAAAATTACTAAGAAAAATTCAAACCATTGATAGAAATCGGAGCCAGACTTTTTTTAAAAATGACCTTGGCTCCCAGGTCGACCCAGCCTTGAGTGGGTACCGGGTGCAGTCCCGGGAAAGTGAAGGCAGCCGGTGGGATGCTTACCACATCACCGATCTTGTGCCGATTGGTCTATAAAAATATAGGTCTAGCCCTATATGCCCTATATATATGTAGCTAGCTTCTCAAATTGACAATGTTTCAGAAATTGACTGGGCATCACCCACATTTGGTGTGTTCTTGTGTCAGGAGTGTGCAGGCATTCACAGAGGACTGTCATCTCCCCAGAGTAGAATCAAGTCTCTGTACTTAGATAAGTGGGATGAAGATCAGGTGCAGGTCAGTTGATTGTCAGTTCTTAATCATATGCATTCTTCTCAGCATCTTTATCATCCAGTGAATACAGTCCCTCAACCAGGTTGTCCCATCCCTTCCAACTCACTTCATCTCGGCCCACCCATATTTTTTAATATCATTTTCTAATCCTTTTCTCTATTTATTTTTCTGTGTGTATATTGCTAATTATAAAACAGTTCTCTTTACTCTGTCTTCTTCTTGAAAATGTTCTTTTTTGAATCTTATAGATATTAGGGTATTTAACACTTTGTTGTACTTGTAGAGGAGGTGGCTGGAGTTGTAGAGTGTTAACTGCATACTGCATGAGATATTTAATCTTTGTTAAGGCTTGGAGTGTATAACAGACCTAGCCAGGACATTTGTGTATAATAGGAAATGCTGGCAGGACTTCTGCTAAAAGCAGGTCTAACAATAGAACTAGAATGTACTTTCACTGGAACCTGCAAGATCAGAAGAAATAAAGGCAGACCAAAAACTCCCAAGAAGAAAATTAGAGCTATAGGTGAAAAGGGACGTGATGTGAGCTGTATGTTATGGCAAAAGATAAGATGGCTTGGCATGAGCGGGTTGTTGGCCTATGCTTCATTGATGGATAAAAAGCAGATGAAACCATGTGAGAATGAAACTTAGGCAGAGAAGCTCCGGCTGTTAGCAGCATCATGATGTACCATGCCAGTACAAGTGGTTGTTGTTTGTCATCTTATGTAATCACCAGTTTTGGACTAGGCTTTTGTGTGTGTTGTGATCATGTCATATGGCCAAGCCATTTAGGTATTCATCCTCTAGCTCTTTTCACATGTAGTAATTATACTAATAATTATTTTGTAACCACATATTCCTAACTGATAAATATTGTTACATAGTTATGGGATATCTGAGCATCATGGAAGCAGCATCTTGTCTCAGAAACTAAAATGTTTTGGCCATATCAAGCACCATGGTTGATTGGAAATAACTGTAGCAGAAGGCATGGTACCAGGAAAGAGACAAGGACCGACCAACATGAAGATGTGCACAAGATATAAGTGACGCCTTAGGTAGGAAAGCAGGAGGTCTGGTGGGAGACTGAATTTCTTTCAGAAAGGTTGTGATGAGAGCCATTTTCTGCAGAGGATCTGCCACATGATGATGATAATAATAAATTGCAGGATTTTAAAATCTAATTGTGAATAGTAGAAAGTCATGATTTTTTAACTTGAATCCTACCAAAATATTCTTAGAATAGCATAGCATGAAATGAAGAAAGGAACTTACTTTACAAGCTCTGCACATCAAAGAGAACTGGCTTATAAACAACATCATGCTGCCTTGGAAACTAAAATACTTTGGCCGTTTAAAATATCTGGGTGGTTCTTTAGAAAGAAAGGTAATGGAAAACGGTTGCTGAATGAAGAGGCGGGAGTTGACCAAACTGACAATGGACAGGAGGCTTTAGAAAGATACCTTTATCATAAAAAATGCATGAGGCGGGAGAACCGACCAAGGGTTACAGAAACTTTCAGGTTTTTTTTAGGTCAGTAGAACAGTTGAGGGTGCTGAATTAAAAATGCACATGTATTTAAAAGAGTGCGGCCTTAGTGTGATGGCTAGATGCTCGCCTGCAGGTCAGAGGGTTGTGGGTTCTGGTCCTGATGGAGATTTTTTTTTTTAATGACTTTGACTCCTAAGTATACCCAACCCTACATGGGCACTAGGTACCGTCTTAGGAAGTAAAGGTGGCTAGCTTGATGTTAACCACATCACTCACCTAGTGCTGATTGGCTTTTAAAATATAGGTCTAGCCTTATATGCCCAGTATGGCTGAAGGTGTGGATAAGGGTTCTTTGCCTTTAACAAAACATTAACAAACCCCTTGGTCATAAAGAAGGCATGAGGCAGGGAGCTGGTCAGAAATCATATTAATTTTCTGGTGTGCTGTGAGAAGAACAGGGTGCAGAATTACAAATACTCATGTACTTTAAAGTTGCCCTCTTTTTCAGGTGATGAGAACAATTGGCAATAATCAGGCCAAGCTGAAATATGAGCTGCACGTGCCAGTCTACTACAAGAAACCCACCAGCCAGTCTGTTTAGTTAGTACATTGTACACTTCTTCTTTAGTTAGTATATTGTAATTTCCTTCTTCTTCTTTTGTGTGTGTGTTTGTCTCTCTCTCTCTCTCTCTCTCTCTCTCTCTCTCTCTCTCTCTCTCTCTCTCTCTCTCTCTCTCTCCTCCTCCTCTCAAATATTTTTTCAGCTTTAGAGATGCATATATTCTATATAGTCATTAATAATAAGATATATTTATTGGCATAACAGAGTGGTCAATCCTGTAGTAAAAGTATTTACATAGTTAGACTCTTATCTTATAATAATCTTTTTCTTCTTCTTCTTTGTGTTCACCAGCTGTAACCTCTGGCAGAGTTCTTCCACTTCTAGACTTTGCTCTTGTTCCAGAATTTTAGTTGTGCTTGCACCTTCTTTTACAGATCTGACTTATTTGTATGCCGACTGTTGGTTCCTCGCCTCTTGGTCTGATGCAGTCTGACTTCGAATGATACACCACCCCTCATTTTTTATACTTTTGCAACATATTTGTTAGGAGGGCATTGGGTCTACTAACCACCCACTCCCCGAAATGAGGCCCTGAATACCTAATGATGATTTTCCAAGAATATTGCAAGGGCATTAGACCTCGTCCTCCAAATAAAGAAGGACTGGGTATATAGTCCATAAAGCAGATGATGAAGATCTGTTGATCTGCGACATCAATTTCATTTGCTTTCTCCTTATGACTTGGATGAGTGATCTAATGATGCACGCATCTGTCCAGTACCATAGCATTTTTTTTCTTTTCTTTCTAAGATTTTCCTTATATTCATCTTCAAAATCACATCTTTACTACATTCCCATATTTGGTAAAAATGTGTCTTCAAGTAGGTATTTAAAAATGTAGTTGCATATCATTTAAAAATTATTGCAGAACCAACCCTAGCATTGGGGGGGGGGCTGTTTGTTATATCACTAGGTATTTCTACATTACGTAGTTTGCTTACTGAATGGCCAGCCCTCGATACTACTGTCGAATCCGACGCAAGGCAGTCTGCTGCCAGATTGCCCACTGCTAGTATCGAACTGGGCAGCTCAGAATTACAAAGCATGTTTGGAATGCCTGAGTTCCTAATGCCGACAGAGTATGAGAAGCAGATGGAGTATAATGATTTTATATGTGAGAGAACTGAATTCATTGTGCCAGGTTTTATCCCTGTACATGGCCTGCCTCTGCAGAGCAGCTGATCATCTGCGAGAGCACCCACTGCATAAAACACAGACTTGATAGCTCTAGCAGTGATGCTCAGGCATCTCTGAAACATCTGCACTCGTGAACTGAAATAGTTTGAAATTGAACCCATTACCTTTGGAGCACAAGACAAACAGGTTAACCATTTTACCACAAAGAGCTGATAAATATAATAATTTTCAGAAGCAGTTTTTCCTGTGGGTTCATGGGCTCCATTTTGGGTCATGCCGACACAGTGGGTATGCAAGGAGCCAACAGTCTGCATACAAACATGCCAGCCCTTTCAAATGGATGATGCCCACAAAACTGAGGTTCTGGTAAAGGAAAAGTCGGGAAATGTGAATTGGCATCATGGCACACAGTTTTAAACCATAAGTGCTCTGCCACAAGTATGGACAGCTGATAAGAAACTATCCGCCTGTGTTGCCGTCTGCATGCAACTCCATAGCTACAGCGACAATTCTCAATTTACCCCAGAGTGTTAACTCTGGTACCAATTACCCAGAGGCGGGGTGAACCCCGGGAACCGCCCGGTTTTGAACGTCCCCCGTGGGCTGCAATGAATCACAGCTGGGTTTGAAAGCGGGTCTCCTATCACCTGCGCTAATACGCTGGAACAAGACCAAAGTCCAGAAGTGGGTGAACAGTAAGAACTTTCCACCAAAGTTTACGTGAAAAACACTAAGAAGAAGAAAAAGGATACAGTAAATCCTCATTAACATGAATTCCATGTGACACCCAAAAAATAATAAAGAGTTTGTGTTAAATATTATATGCTTACCAAAAACTATTATGAATAATACCTTCCTGCTGAGACCACATTTTTGTTTATGTTAACCATTTGTTTATCTGAAGCTAGTTCATATTAATGAGGTTTACTTAACGGTTTTCACAATTTCTTAAGTCAGTAACATTTGAATATTTAATCTTTCAGTGTACTTAAGAAAGAATGGATTATAGCAAAATATCAGCGTTTAGAGTTTACAGACCCTGCAAGACAGTCGGCTTATGACTGTGAGACTAAGACGGGATATTTGTGGAAACTGGGGAGGGACAGAAAACAATTTGCCCAGCGTCGATTTGTTATCTCTCGTTCAGACAACACCCTCTGCTACTATGTTAATGAAGATTCTAACAAGGTGTGTGCATTACTTTGATCATCAATATTTTTATTGTTTTGTTTGTTTTGTTGTTGTTGTAACACTATAGTAGCAATAGCATCACAGAGCAGGGTACTCACTTACCCGGGCAGTCTGAAAGATTGCTGAAGATTGAGGTGCTCAACCATGTAGACGCGGAAAGCAAGGGGAGACTACCGCATTAGAAACTCTAAATTGAAGCTGAAAAGAATGAGCTGAGCATTGAGTATTGGCTTATAAACAGCATCCTGTCCTGAGAGCTGAGGTACTTCGAACATCATTGTGGCCTCAAGAGAACAGTGATGGAAGGTAGTTTCCAGAAAAATGCTGTAGAGGCAGACCTCTGTGGATGGATGGATGGATGGATTGAATATCAGTTGGCTATGAAAGCACAGAGAAACTGGAGAATTGGTTTGAGAGAGACTTTCAGGTGGGATGTGATGAGAGTGACATCTATAAAAGATCTGCTGATTGATGATGATGAATAATCTAGTGCTGATTGATGGTGATGAATAATATGGTGCTGATTGATGATGATGAATAATATAGTGCTGATTGATGATGAACAATATAGTGCTGATTGATGATAATGAATAATATAGTGCTGATTAATGATGATGAATAATATGGTGCTGATTGATGATGAGGAATAATATAGTGCTGATTGATGATGATGAATAATATAGTGCTGATTGATGATGATGAACAATATAGTGCTGATTGATGATGATGAATATTATATTGCTGATTGATGATGATGAATGACATCGTGCTGACTGATGATGATGAATGACATAGTGCTGACTGATGATGATGAACTATATAGTGCTGATTGATGATGATGAATATAGTGCGGGCAGTGGTTAGCTTGCTTGCCTGCCAGCCCAGTGGTTCACACCCCCATTGAGGTCAACTTTCAGTACTGACCTGGGCTCTCAGGTCAACTAGTAAAGAGCACCGGCCACAATGACAGATTTGATTCATCCGCTGAAACACATTAGGAACGTTTTGAACTATACACTAAATACAAATATTGACACTGATGCTTTAAATAAATCTTCTTCTTCTCCGATCCTTCTGTCAGAAAACTTATATCAGGAGGCCGGTAGCCTTTATGAAAGCTATTGTGCAATCCATATCCTCTCGTGTACCATACAGTTTTGTCTTCATTGTGGTTGGAACAGGCCAGATTGCGTCTCTGTTGTCAGCATACAGTTGACAGTGTTGGAGCATATGCTCAGCATTTTCGGGTGCCACGCTGCAGGGATATAAATTATTACTTAAGTATTTGTGAAATGAAGATGTATATAAAGTAAGAAATAACACATCTCCTGAAAATAAGCTGCATGGTATCTTTTGGAGTAAAATTGTATAAGACCTGGTCTTATTTTCTGAGATAGATGGTAGTTATGAGCATCAGATGACGACAGTCCACATTCTTCAGGCATGCCATAAGAAGGGCAGAACTGGAGAACATCATGACAACAGGAAAGTTTGAAGGAGAAAGAATGTAGGGGGAGACATATAATGAGGGATGTTGGATAGTTTGGCATCATGACATGGAATCAGAAAAAAAAAAAGATAACAACACAAGGCTGTGAAGAGGCATGGTCACCACCACGCGATATGGACTATATTCATATTAGTATGCATTGAGCTTGGATACATACTTCTTCTGCATTCATAAAAAAGGTGGTTGGCACATTTTGTTGTGGTTTACAACTGGGATGCAATATCTATAAGTTTAGGCCCAACACATCTGATGTCAGGAAACCTTTAATTAGTCGTCTGATAAGACATGCTTCGTATGTGGTTGGGGGGGGGGTGGATCTGTTCTGTTGTTCTCCCAAAATGGAGCCCTAGAACCAACACGAGGATGACCTTTCTTATGACACGCACAGAAGATTGGCTAGTTGATATATTATGGAAGTATATGTTTATTTCTTTGTGACAAGGTATGGGTTATTTTATGTACATCAGATGAAATAAGCAGAGAAATTATTACTTTGTCTAAACAAATTGGACTTAATTTCTGGCCCACAGATGCATCCTTAATAGTTGAATTGTGTGAAATGAGTGAAACCCCAAGAGCACTCTCATATCTTAAGGCAGAGCAGTTCAGATGTTAGTTCCATGTCCTTTACAGGACATTGCAAGGCAACGCCAGAATTTGTTGCATGTTTGTAATTTTACTGGACAGTTTTACATTCAGTTGTTTGCCATTGCTTTCTGAAATTTTTCAGCACTCATACCATTGTTAAAATAAACACAAATCAATCTTCTGTCAAAATGCCTGCAGGTGAATCAAACATGGTATACTGGAGTTACCAAACTGCATTCAAAACCCCTAAGCCACAGACGCTGACTACCAAAATAGTCACATCAAAAATATTGGTCCTGAAGAAGAATGATGATTGTTAGTCGGCTTTAGATTGTCAAAACATTTTGATGTGTCTTTCTTAAAGTTCTATTTTGTTTTGTATATCCTCTTTGTCATTGTTGACACTCAGTGTTTTCACAAGTGATGTCCATTGCTACCACCCTGCTGCAATCCTGCCCGTAATATCCCATGTCCATTTACTTTGCTTCATTTCCCTTTCCATTGGTCTTCCGGGTTTCCTTAGTCGACCACGTCGAACTGTCCTTGCCAAATTGTCAGACATTCCGCAGAAATATCCAGTGCATCCTTTGGTGGAATTTACCAGTGATGAACATTTTGTTTTCCTCATCAGTTCTTCATTTGTGATCTTGTTTGGCCAAAATATTCACATTATTCTCCTTAGACATTTATTCTGAAAAGTCTCTAGTTTATGCCATTCTTACTACAGAGATGGTTACAACTTATCTAAAGTTAGATTGTGAGAAATCAGTCATGTGTGTCTCTTTCAGCAAAAATACAGTGTGAAAATATAAGTCGTTTATCTCCTTCATTTAAAACACAATGTGAAAATATCAATCAGTCATCTGTGTCTCTTTCAGCAACAACAACAAAAATTGTGAAAATATCAGTCATGTGTGTCTCTTTCAGCAACAACAACAAAAAATTGTGAAAATATCAGTCATTTGTGTCTCTTTCAGCAGAAAACAATGTGAAAATATCAGTCATGTGTGTGTCTCTTTCAGCAACAACAACAAAAACTGAAAATATGAGTCATGTGTGTCTCTTTCAGCAAAAACAACCAAAATCTGTGGTGGACCTAGACTTCCTGAATGCAGTTTTTGTACCAGAGAAGATAGGAAATCCTTTTGGTCTGCAGCTAACATATATTAAAGATGGGTCGACTAGAAGTTTGTTTCTCTACTCAGATACATCTAAGGTAAGCATTGTATTCTATTGATTTTTTAATATGTATATTATCACCATACTGTGCCTTGCTGACTGGAGATCATGCCACTCCACATTCTGTAGTCTTCAACATCAAGTATCAGTTCCTGTGCTGACACCTCTCCATGCCATGACAGGAAGTTGCCAAGAATCTTCTCACATTGTCTTCCCCTGCCTCTTTTTCCACAGATCTTGCTAGTGGTCATATTTTCCAGTTTTCTTCTTTTCATAATTTGATTGAAAAATAATGACTGTCTCTTTCTGTTTGTGATAAGCTGTTTTCAAGCCCTTGTCTCTCTTAAAATAAGTATGTAAATGTTAGGTAAGAAAAATACCAGACATTTGCATAGCAAATAGGAAAAAGAAAAGATAGTGTTAGTTGGTTGGTGTGAATGCTTACCTATCAATACACTGGTGCTTGGTTGAAATTCCCTAGTGGAAGCGTAGGATTCTTTCCTGCCAGTTCTTCTTCTTCTTCGCGTTCACCAGCTGTAAACTCTGGCGGAAGGTTCTGGTTGCTCGTTCACTAATGAACTGCAGTCCTGTTTCAGAACCTGAGTGTTGCATGTGCATCAGTTTTACAGATCTCATTCTCTTGAATACAGACTGTTGGTTCCTTGCCTCTCCGGCAGATGCACTCCGACTTCAAAGGAAGCTCCCCAATTAGTCGACTCTTACGACATGCTTATGGGGAGGCAGTGGGTCTATTCTTGTTTTCCCCCACAATGGGGCCCCGGAACCCACACGGGGGTTTCCTGCCAGTAAGCTGTGGGGACAACATCCCAACCTTAAACAGTGAGTACCCATGTGGCTTCCGGAGCCCAGTTATGGGGAGGGGGGGGGGGAGACCTACTGTCCCCTTAACACACGTCATAAAAGTTGACTAATTGGGGGGAAGGGCTAGGAACCAACAGTCTGCATATAAAAAAAGCCAAGTCTGTAAAATGGATGTACACACAAAACTCAAGTCCTAGAAAAAGACTAAAGTCCAGAAGTGGACTAATAACCAAGAGTTAATTGTTTAGTATGCACTAAAGGAAGAAGATACAATGAGCACAGGTGATAATTTTTGGAAGGATGGGAAATGAGGTAGGAGGTTGGTCACCCACCTCATAGTCCATGCGAGTATGAAAGTATGTAAACTCCTAATGCTTCACACAATTACAGTAGCACATTTACATTTCCTGTATTGCAGGAAATTGTGGACTGGTTTATGTGCATCCGAGCAGCCAAGTGGGAGAGAAGGAAGATTGCTTTCCCAGATAGGGATTTGGCACAGGTATGTGACTGAGTGCAGAGTGTTAGTTTTGTTATGTTGATATGCTCGGATCAGCTGATCATCACTTGTATTTTGAAATTACATTCCCAGATAGGGATTGGGCACAGGTATGTGACCATATGCAGATTTAGTTTCACCATATTGGGTTGTGGTGAGTTGTTCAAGGTCATACAGCAGGTATGATGATTAGCTGTCCTATGTATACTAAACACATTTAGAATACAGTCACTAGCTCACCAAGTCACCATCTCACCATTTCTTTTTTTTAAATTTAAATTCTAGAAAAAGAAGGTGCTGGCACTCACCACAAAGTAAAAAATGGTACCAATATTCACCTCAGTGTGACGAAATTACAGAAGAAATGGAAAAAACAAAAATGATGCCTAAAAAAAGGTATCTGTACTGCATCCCATTGTTTACTACCAGAAAGAAAGAAAAAATTCAAGAAACATGAAAGAATAAGAGAATGTCTGGACAACTGCAGATGGTTGTATATTGGGCACATCATGAGAGGGAAGGGACAGATCACCAAACAACTGAAATGGTAAACAAATAAATGGAGGAAATGAGGATTTGCAAGAGAAACCCTAAGATTAACATTGTGGAGAGAGGCCAAAAGTGCTGGATCCATGGTATCGAAAGGGTTGCACAGGATAGGATAGAATGACAGACTAGACTGAGCCCTGTGTGGTGTATATTTGCTTTGTTTTTGTGAGGCTGGCATGGCTGGTCAGTGGTAACAATAGTTATCCAGTAGATTTATACACAAATTGGACTACAGTTTAATTAATTTGCAACATGTGTATTGATGAATAATCATTTCGAAGATAAATATTTTCTAATAGCTCATTTATTTATCTTTAGAATAATATATTACATTGTCCTTATATCTGGAGCTGGCCGTGATTTGCACAGTGGGATGGGGATGATGATGATGAAGAAATCAGTTGGCAGTACTGAGAACTTTGACAGCCATTCACATAGAAATTAGATTTTTATTTTTCCATAATCATCATCTGGTTCTTTTAATTATTTGGTACAGGCTAGATGTACTCATAATACCAGTAGCACGGTGCAGAAGATTGAAGCATATTAAAGAAGGAATGAATACAAATATTTTGCTATACTGCAGAAGAAATAATCCAGTCAGATCAAGGTAGTAATTGCAATGATACATTTAGTTATTACAGACTGAGGTCAACAGAAACCCCAATTTACATAAATAATGGGCAAGAGGCAGGTCTCAGATTACCATTGGCTAAAACCAGGGAAACCCCGCACAGAAAGTAGGACATGACTGTTTGAAGAGAAGGTCATTTCCACAGGGTGATGTTAGATCTGAAAGAAATTGTAACAGCACAGATTGTAACAGTATGAGATTTATGCGAGGAAGGAAAGATTGGAGATAATTCTGTGTGGCGCTCGCATGGAATCTGAGTGGTGAATATCTGCACATAACTGAGTTCAGTGAGTAATTGCAGTAATAAACATGACTGATCTTGACAGATTGAACCTGTCTGGGTATATTAATTTTATACTGGGAGCAACTGCGATGTGGGATTCAAGTTGATTTAAGGATGTGAGCAGCTTTGTAAGTAGAGTGCAGTGTAGTTGGTTGCTATGTTGAGATATGAAGGCCTAAAAGCCAATCCTTGATGACCAATAATGATGGGTGATCGAGAGATAGTACTCAGCGTGTAGTGGCAAATAAACCAGATTGGCAGAAGGAATGCGTTTGTTGAATCTACAAATATCTGTCATGAAGTTCTGTTTGGCTTCATCATAGCCAGTCAGACATATCAGGTCTTGTTCTGTTGTGGTGTATCGTGGCCAGGCTGGGGAGCAACATCACAGTCACCAGCCTCCATTGTAGACATGGCTCCCACACAGTATGTACTACCGCTGTAATATTAGTCATGGACTTCTGCTTCATTTATCTTATGTTTGATTTGGCAGCTTTCTGAAGACTTGACCAGTGAGTTCTTGATGGAAGGCTGGTTAAGTAAAATGGGACCCAAGAATGAGCCCTTCAAGCGGAGATGGTTCACGCTTGACTGCAGGAAGCTAATGTATTTTGAAGAACCTCTGGTATGTACAAATTTTGTTTTCAGCTAAAACAGTAAGATGAAACACGAAGCGCCACTAAAACTATTACTAATAAACTACAAACATTCATCATTCACTGCTGCCTGCACAGAATGGAGAGAAGAGAATGGTATGACATAATCACTAATGTGGGGCTTTTAGAGAGAACTACACAAATTCCAGTAAGGCAAGAGGTGAAGAAAAATGCTGGCACTGGATAGGGACATTGAGAAGACATGAGATCAATGTAACTAGAAGTGTCTTGGCACCAGAACTCAAAAAGACAGACCAGGAAACGCATGAGGAAGGGAGCTAGAGAGTAAAGTTAAAAAGATGGGGAGGACATAGAGTGATCTACATGTGATAGCAAGGGATAGAACAATAAGTTTCTTGAGGGCTTATGCTCCGTTCAGGGATAAATGGCACAAGAAGAAGCAGAAAAGGTAACCCCACAGCAGATACTGCCATTGGAATATGAAATGTCAGGCCTGCACACATTCCAGGCCATGGCATGATGTGAGATGGCTAGTTCACTTCCTCAACGCTTTTTCTCGCAGAAATTCTAAAAAAAAAAATTTGGTACACCGTTTTTTTTTTTTTGGTGTGGTTTTTTTTTAGGGCTAGGTCAACCCCAGTGTTATTTCTGGTTTGAAAAAAAAAATCCTATTGGTTGGGGGGGGGGGGGGGGGGGGGGGTGTGTAAGAGTTAAGAACTATCATAGCACTTGAGTCATACCAATAATCGCTTCATCCCCATGTTCAGAAGCAAGCATAGAGTTCCAGTTCAGATGGTACCAGTAATAGTCTGTCTCACCCCTGCCCTGATTGTTGAGCTCTGGCCAGATCCCCTGGTCACTGCTCATTGCATTATTCTCTTCAGATCATGATGATCTGTTTGTGCCCCACACAGTTTACTCTCTGCCAAAGGGCTGTTACCACACCTAGCTTGTCATGCATCAGTTTACCACAGAGGTGTGCAGAACCAGTCTCCCACAGAGGTGTGCAGAACCAGTCTCCCACAGAGGTGTGCAGAACCAGTCTCCCACAGAGGTGTGCAGAACCAGTCTCCCACAGAGGTGTGCAGAACCAGTCTCCCAAAGGGCTGTTACCACACCTAGCTTGTCATGCATCAGTTTACCACAGATGTGTGCAGAACCAGTCTGCCAAAGGGCTGTTACGACACCTAGCTTGTCATGCATCAGTTTACCACAGAGGTGTGCAGAACCAGTCTCCCAAAGGGCTGTTACCACATCTAGCTTGTCATGCATCAGTTTACCACAGATGTGTGCAGAACCAGTCAGTATATCTTGCTGTTTATTTCCCAACACACGGCATACCTTGGGGAAAATATCCAAAGTTCTAGGGAATGATACTAGAGCACTGTGTTACCATGCAGGTGCACTAACTGCTATACCATTGTGGCTGAGTCAGTACTTGAAGATATTTTATAATATTTAATTGAAGGTGGCGATATATTGGGTGCCTCCTGAAGAGAAGCGAGTAGAGAGTCACGAAACAGTCACATAAATGAGAAGAGAAAGGGATTGAGAACAGGAGGATGTACAAAAGAAACCCTAAGACGACAATGATGATAGAGGCCAAAAGTGCTGAACTGGGTTCGATCCATGATCTTGAAACAATTGCACAGGATAGTACAGAATGGAAGAATAGACTGCTAGCACTGTGTGGCATAAAATAGCACAACAGGATGATAATGATTGTAATGATATTTAATTAATTCTAATATTATGTACTTGGGGTGTTCATGCTAATGTCTGTTCAGCTCACTTTGTGAATATGTATTTTTTTTTTTAAGAGTGAAGGATCGTTTTTTTTTATCCATTGGCTCACCTGGAAAATGGTGCTGGACTCATATTTTTTATAAACAGTTTGGCCACAAAAACCAGCCCACCATAACAAAGTCTAAAAAGAAGTGTGTGGTTGGAGGCGGAAGGGGTGGGGGGGGGGGGGGGGTCAAATAAAAGAGTTATGATGGGGTGGGGGTGAGGATATAGCCATAAGGCATCCAGATCGACACACCTCCTTTCATCTAGACCAAAAACATACTGAGAAAGGAGCTAGAAAGTGAAGTTAATGAGATGGGGAGGACATGACTCTAGCTGCAAGAAATAGAAAAGGATGGAAATACTTTGTGTGAGCTGGTTGAGGGCTTATACTCCATTGGGGGATAAAAGATAGAAGAAATGTTTGCCATCAGCATTTACAATCAAAATGGCAAAAAATGTTTCTATAAAACCAGTAATTGCATTGTTAGATGTTCGATACAGAATGCATAAACTCTTTCAGTATCATATCAGATGTTAGTTTTAATGTTCTCTATCTAAACTTAATGTCCCTTGCAGTTATTAAGTGTTGCATCCATTGGATGTTGAATAATAACCTTGCTGAACAGGCAAAGTAAAGCAACAATTGAGTTGGATAATGCAAAAACTGGATTGGGCATAAAAAGTTAATTAAGAAAAAATTTATTCACACACATGTCAGTCAATACATGGTGAGTTTGTTTGATACCATATTGTCAGCTACCGCCGGTATTTACCAATTTTGCAGTATAACCTGAGGATTTTGGGCCACATGGCTAGTGTTATCACTATACACTGTGCAGGTTAGGATTTTATTTTTGCTCCAGACAGAAAAAATCCCTAACCTAACTGAGAAATCAAGCCCGGGTCTCTCATATCAGAGCCCTACATTGGTAACCGTTTGACCCGCTGATGCTCGTTCTGGGTACCAAAAGATTTAAAGTACATGATTCAGCCATGACATTCACAGACTTTTTCTAAACTTCCACAGCATGCTTATGCTAAAGGTGAGGTGTTCATTGGTCACAAGGATGCTGGCTACAGACTCAGTATGGGAGGGGAGGTAGGATGTAGGAAGTCTGCGACTCCCAGTGCTAGCAACTACTGCTTTACTCTTCATACGCCAGAGAGGAACTTTGTGATGCGTGCAGAGACACGAGATGACCTGGAAAAGTGGGTGATGGCATTAGAAAGGATATTAGAGCAGCCTTTGACACCATATGACAGCAAATGTGAGTAGTTTATTTGTGGTTGTAAACGTTAGGCTAATACATTTGTCTGAGCAGTAATTTTAAACAGTAGGCTAATATTTCAGGTGTTTCACTCAGGGCGGAACCCAGTTTTTCGTTCATAACTCAAACACTAATCAAGATGTTGCAGCGAAGTTTTGAGTAGACTTATCTCCGTTCATGCGAAGCTGGGTGACATCCTAACAACTGCTGGTAATGGCCACCATAAGCGTCCAGGCAGCAAAACATTGCCTGACCTTGTTTCCACCTGTTTATTCCCTGCACACTGAGACTGCCTTTTCACAACATGTGGCCGTGTCCAATGTTACTTAGACACCAGTGGTGGCCATTTCCAGCACCTTTTATGATGTCACCTGACTTCGCATGAATAGAGGTAAGTCCACTCGAAATGTTGTTGACATGTATTTATTAATGTCCGAGTTATGAACACAATTCTGGGTTGCGCCCCAAGTGAAACACCCAGTATATGTTTGAACAGAAATTATAGATGAAAAGCTAATATATGTGTGTGAGCAGCAATTGTGGATGTTAGGCTAATATGTATGTATGAGCAGTTAATGTAGACGGTAAGCTAATATTAGAATTAGAAGTACTGGGAGAATTTGGGATAGAAATATTAACTAAACTGATCAATGACATTTATAACACAGGGTACATACCAAGTCACATGATGAAATCTATATTTACAGCGTTACCCAAAAGACCAGGAGCAATTGAATGTGAAGAATTTCATACAATCAACTTAATAAATCACGTCACCAAATTACTACTTAGAATTATAAAAGAACAAGAAGAAAAATAAGAATGGAAATGAGTAAAGAGCAGTATGGATTTATGGAAGGTAAAGGGACAGGTAATGCAATATACTTATTACAAACATTGATAGAAAGATCAATGTACATACAAAAGGACTTATATTTGTGCTTAGTTAAACATAAGGAGATGATAAAAATGTTGGAAGACATCAGTGTAGATGAGAAAGATCTCAGAATAATTAAAACATTTACTGGAACAAAGTAGCAGCAATTAAAGTGGCAAACAGATTGGTTACTTTTGAACAGATAAATCAAGGAGTATGACAGGGATGTGTCTTATCCCCAGACCTTTTCTCTTTATATAGTAAAGTAATTTGGAGGGAAATTAAAGAAAAAGCAGGAATAAAAGTGGTAGGATACAACATAAACAATTTGCGTTATGTAGACGATACAGTTCCGATAGCTGAAAAGGCAACTGATTTACAACTGCTGGAAATTGTGGGGATAGAGAGGGCTAGGAAAGGGCTTTCCTTGAATAATAAGAAAACAGAAGTAATGGTTATATCAAAGTAGAAGATAACACCACATTGTGATATCTCAATTGAAGGAAAAAAGCTTAACCAAGTCAATATATTCAAATATCTGGGAACATTTATAACATCAGATAGAAAATGTGTGACAGAGATTAAAAGCAGAATAGGTCAAGTGAATGCAGCATTTCAGAAAATGAAAAATTTCATAGGCAATAAATAAGTCACTTTCATTTAATGTCAGAAAGAGAGTGCTAAAATGTTACATAGAACCTGTTCTGCTGTATGGCAGTGAATTTTGGTATGTCAGTGAACAAATTAAGAAGAATTCGGAAGCAACAGAGATGTGGTTTCTGAGACGAATGTTACGAAATACCTTAGACGGCCCAAAAAACTAACAAAGATCTCTATATACAACAATAAGAAGGAGACAAACACTGTTCTTTGGTCACATAATGAGAAGAGAGGCATTGAAAAACATTGTGACAACTGGAAAGATCATTGGAAAGAGGGGTAGAGGCAGACCAAGAGAGATGATGTTGGATGGGCTGAAAGGATGACATAGAGATATCATAAAAAGAGCTGTTCCAGGCAACCAAGGATCGTGATCTGTGGAGATGCATGAGTACCTACGCCAACTGGCAAGGCAAATAATGATGATGATGATGAAGCTAATATATGAATAAGCAGTAATTGTAAATGGTAGACTTATATATATATATATATATATATATATATATATATATATATATATATATATATATATATATATATATATATATATGTGTGTGTGTGTGTGTGTTTGAGCAGTAATTATATATGGTAGACTAATATATATGTGTGAGCAGTAATTAAATATGGTAGACTAATATAATATATATGTGTGTGTTTGAGCAGTAATTATATAGTAGGGTAATATTATGTGTGAGCAGTTATTGTAAATGGTAGGCCAATATATATGTGTGAGCAGTAATTGTATATGCTAGGCTAATGTATATGTGTGTGAGTAATAATTGTAGATGGTAGGTTAATATATTTATATATGTGTGTGAGCTGTAACTGTAGATGGTAACTAATCTAAAAAGTCAGAAGTAATCACGTACTGTTTTGAGTTTATAAGGCAGTAAGGCTTTACATATGCTAGATCATTGTTTGCACCTTTCCGTTTTGTAGTGTAATATTGTGCTATGCAGGGACATGGGAATCGTAGCCCATGGTGATGGCGAGCGACTAGCAAGACCAACTTGTGTTGAGTTTTTCCCAACTGGAGCATGTGGGATTTCAGGATCATTATTGCTGTCACATGTATTTAACAGTCTTATTAATGGTTCATTTTCTCGTGATTTGGAAATGAGGACAGCTACTATGCATAAATTATGGGAGAGAATCAGGATGGATGGCATTGATTACTAATTATAATGTATGCGTAAACAAATCGAGTAAATGATACCAACTCCAGGCAAACATTTAGTGTGGCTGAAGTGTGATAAGAAAAGCACAAAAATATGTGTAGAACATTAAGTGCACATGATTATTTAAACTTGGAGAGAAGGAGAATGCTCAGTCTTCAATTCGATCTGGTGAGAGACTGGTCCCATGGTGCTTGGAATGCCTGATTCGAATGAATTCATAGATTGAGCGAATGTTACAAGCTGCCTGCCTGTTCCTGAGAAAAACCTGGCTATGATGACTCCATGACAATTTGAGATGGGAGAAAAATGTGTCTGTTGTGCTTGTGCCTTTTTGCTGAATGCAGTTTTGGTAGTTCGGAAGTGCAACTACAGTAAGTGTACTGAAGTTTGAACTTTGTCCAGGTAATGATAATAAATAGATCGGTCTTGTGTAGCCTGTCACCTGGACAACTCACTTGTGGCACATTGACTGAGGAGAACAGCGTTGGAGTCAATAAACAGTTCGGTATCAGTGGTGTTTTCAACATTTCTTCATGTTCCAGCTCGTTTTATTGAATGAAATATCAATGTGCCTGAGAAGGCTGCATGATTAGAGCCAAGACAGTCATTGCAGGCTTCTTTTCTAACACTCAGTTATTTTTTATCAGCAGTCATTTTTTTTCCTTTACCCTGTTCATTTCCTTTATTTCCCCTTCATGCAACACAGTCTGTGGCATCCTGTTCCAAATTATCAATCTCCAAGTCTGTATCATTCGTGTGATGCTTTCACATTTAGCAAATTCTGTTCCCACAACCAGTGGCGCAGTTCCATGGTCCCTAGGGACTGAAGGTTGCTTATGGCAATAGAGGCTGACCTAAACATCTTCTCCATGTCTGTAATTCACCTCAGAGGATGTCCTTAGGGACTCTACCATTCTCCCTCCTCCCAGCATCTCCTAGCCATCTGAACCTTCAAGGACTTAAGTGTTAAGAAAGCAGTTGTGATACCAGCTGTTGCCAATACCTCAGTGTTTGTAATTTTAGTACATTCTTTCTTTTGCTCAGTGCATGCAGCCTACTCGGGCACATTGGTAGATAATTCAACAAAGCAATCTTGAACCATGAACCAACGTCAAGAACACTAAATTGCTGACAAGAAATGTATATTGCTCCAAGGCTGTTCTCCTCTGTCAGTGAGCCAGAGGTTTGATACACAGGCTACTCAAGAATAATCAAATATACGCTCATTACCTGGATAGAGTTCTAGTTTTTGACACTTCCAACCGTTCACGCTTCAGCTCTTGCAGAATTGCACTAAGAAACACTTGAACTCACAGGAGACGATTTTCGTCTCATGCCAATTTGTAGATGCTACCAGTATAACCTGGTTTTCTTGGAAAACAGGTTCTCAGCTTGATATACATTCACTTACATTCAGTTCACACGCTCCAAGTGACATAGGACCAGATTGAAAATATAAATGAGTTTTCTTACTTGCTGTAGGTTTAAATAATTTATTCTTCTTCTCATGCACTCAGTGGTTCCACTCACAATTTCGTGATTTCCTCATCTGGCACACATCAGCCTAACTGCCCATTTGTCTCAAGTTAGTATCGCTCACTTAATCTGTTCATGCATACATTATAATTAATAATCGAGGCCATCCATCTTAATTCCCACACATAAAATGTGTAATAATTATCATCCTCATTTTCAGACAATGAGAAGATTTCCTAGCAATGATAAAATGCCTCCTCACAGGGATTTGTCTTTCAAGGACAAATCCTATAAATCATTATTCAATGCAGTTATATTGGGGTTCCCAAACAGTTACAAAGTAACCTGTAGTCTAGTGTGACTGGGTTATCATAAAGCTCTATACTGTTATACTCTATATATATTTCCGGCTTTGCATCTTTGATGGTTGTTCAAAAATTGTGTATTATGTGTGTTTTTCAGTGGCAGCTCTTCTGGTTCCGAAAAAAGCTTCAAGTACATTCCGACTCATCAAAAGGTAGACTTTTTACAGTGCAGGAAAATATTGCAGCAGTGTTCCTGTTATAGTGGTTTTGTGGGTCACAAGCAAAGTTGTACCACTTAGTGCTCAGAACTGGAGGCCAGGCAGAAGGGAGGACTATTGTTATTGTGGAGAAAGAAAATGTCCAGTGAGCAGATTGTGCAGTTTTTTATTGATTGTACTTTTATTTTGTTTGCTATTTAGTGTTGCACCTATTTGTACTTTTTTTTTTCATCATATGTCCAAGACTTTTAAAATTATGAATTTAAACACACTTGATTTCAGTTCTCTTCTATTTCTTTCCTTGTCATTAGTTGTATTGACCTGTCAATATTGATATATTGACCTGTATTGACGTGTTTCTGTGCAAGAGATAGAGAGACATAGGGAGTCAGCATAATAATTTGTGGGCATTATATTTAATTGAGTTTATGCTGTGTATTGTTTCTTCTTTGTTATTGTATGTTTTTTTTTTTTTTTTTAAGGACTCCAGGTTCAGATCCTTAGTAAGGTTTTGGATTTTTTCTGTTGTGACAAAAATAAAATCCTAACTGTACAATCGTGGTGACAGCACTGCCATGTGCTTTAAATTTTCAGGTTCAAACACTTGCAAGTGCATAAAACATTTAAATAATGGGCAGTATGAATACTTCTTTTCATTGAATTAGAACCATCCTGTATCTGCAGCTTTACTTTGTGCATGAACCACACTGTATTCTGCAGCCTTTATGTGGAGTTAGACACCTGTGGTTGTTTCATCTGCTGGTTAAGAATGTTTGGCTCTCATTTGAATCCTCAGTAAGATGATGAATTTTTGTTGTTGTTGTTGTCAAGGACAAAAAGAAACTCTCTCAGCCTGCACAGTACAGGAAGACTGCGCTAGCCTCATGGCTCTACTTCAGGTTCTTCTTCTTCTTAATGCTCGTCAGCTGTGAACTGCAGCAGAAAGTTCTGGTTGTTCATCCACTTCTAGACTTTAGTCTTGTTCCAGAACTTGAGTTTTGCATGCACATCTGTTTTACAGATCTTGCTTATTTGAAAGCGGAATATTGGTTCCTTGCCTCTCAGGTACATGCATTCAGACTTTAAAGGAAACATCCCTAATTAGTCTACTTTTAGGACATGCTTGTTAGGAGCGCAAGGGACTCCCCCCCCTCCCCCCCCCCACACACACACACACACACACACAAACTAGGGTACCAGAGCTCGCGCAGGAACAACAATATTTTCAGCTTCAAGACCCCTCTGTTCCACACTGTCCTAAACAGTGGATATGCATGCAGTAAAGACCGCCAGTACAAAAGTACAGTCAATTTAACAAACGTTTCTGCTGTAATTTTCTACTCTGGTGACAGAAATGCGTGGCAGATCATGGTAGATATGCTGAAAGTCAGACACGTATGCAGTGTTAGATGTAAGTCAATTAAGTTGAAAAGATCAGAAGAGTAGATGACTTTTTGAAAAAAATTGCCAACCAAACACAGGAGACATCTGTATAGTCTTTCAAAGTTTTGTAGTTTAGCTAAATACTGGCTGTTGTATTTGTGTGGGGGGGGGGGGGGGGGGGGGGGGGGGGGGGGGGGGGGGGGGGGGGGGGGGGGGGGGGGGGGGGGGGTCAGTTTTATGTGTCTCATCTTTGCTTCATGTGATAAAAATATTTAAACTTTAAAAGTATACATTATCACTGTTGCTATTACTTAATAAATTGTGAATATATATATATTGAATACATGGCTATTTTTCTGGCGGCATGAAACAGTTTGCAGTACCAGTACCTTTTTAAGTCATCAATAGACACTCTGTGACGAGTACTGGCACCTTTTTAAGATACATTGTGTTGTGTACAGGCATTATTTTCTTTCTCTAGAAAAGAACCCTTTTTGAATATATATATATATATTTATATATGTATACAAAGAATCTGTCCTTGACTTCTTTACACAGAAACTGGTATCTTTTGTTGCTAAATAGCAAGACATGTCTTTTCTACAGCATGTGAAAGTTTCCTGTGACAGTATTATTTATGCATTAGCATTCTTTAGACAGCGTGGTCAGTTTTAGCCTGCAATATTCCTGTAAATCTGATTAGAAATACCCTCTCATGTAACTGATGTCCTTTTATTTTGCAAGTGCAAATCGAAAAATTCTTGGTATGGGCCATGTTATAGAGAAAACAAGAATAGACCCACTGCCTACCCAAAAGAAAGAGTAAGAGTCAACTGATTGGGAGCTTTCTTCAGAATCGGAGTGCATCTACCTGAGAGGCAAGGAACCAGCAGTCTGCATACAAATGAGTCAGATCTGTAAAATGGATACACACACAACACTCAAGTTCTGAAACAGGACTGCAGTCCAGAAGTGGATGAACAACCAGAACTTTCCGCCAGTTTACAGCTGGTAAACATGAAGAAGACGAATCGAAAAAGGACAGGGCATTACCTGGTTTTGTTTATGGCAGAAAATAATGTGATTTTTTAAATTTTATTTCATGTTTATTTCAAGTTGTTCAGGGAATTTTCAGAAGCTTCTTAACCATACTTTTCTGCTTAGATTCATTTAAAGGAATGAACACCACATATAACAGACATAGTTTAATCTTGACAGGAAAGCTGGTGTTGCTTTTCCATGTATGATTCAGTCTTGTAGCAGTAAAAATCATCTTGGGTCTTCTTTTAAACTCATTGATTGATTACTGATATTTTGATTTACAGGTTACTTGTTAATTGAAATATTTTATAATCATTAACTCTTTTGGTACTAGGGAACAATTAAATTAGTTATAAATCAACGCATGATTTCTTTCTTGGTACCAAAAAAGAGTTACAAATCTTTAGTGTAATATGTTCTTGTTGTATATTAAAAAGATGCATCCTTGAGAACTACTGCTGTACCGAAAATTTGGCCTGGGTATTTATGCAGAGTATTTCCAAAGTTTCTTCTTCTGCTATGTTTTCCCTTAAAAGAGTGGTAGACAGGCTGTGTTGCGACTTACAGCTAGACTGTGATATCTGCACCTTTCAGCCCTACACATTTGGTTTCCACAAACCCTGATTAGTCATTTTTACAACAGGCCTGGTGGGGGGCAGCGGGTCCATCCCACAGCCCCCTCTCCCCCCATGGAGTTTGTGATTCTCTGAAGCTGATTCAAGGGGCATGTCTTTAATTTCTCACTGATATCGTTAAAATTTCCTCCAGAAGGTTTCTACTGTTCAGTGTATCAAAATTAAATGCTGTAATAAAACATTTTGGTTTTTTTATAGGACATCATTCTTTACAACTTAAGTGAGATTCCTGAGAAATTAGATCAGAGTTGATGCTGAGAAATGAGATCAGAGTTGATGAAATCAGAAAGAAAATGGGAGTAGTGGCAGAGCTAGATTTCTTTAGAAAACATTGAAATGTTTTGGCCATCTCGGTCTTAGTTGTGGTTTAAACTTCACTAAACTTGGATCATCCCATATCTTGCTCTGTTCCAGTGCCATTCAAAATCAAATAAAATGTTCCTAAATGTGGCCGTCTTAGACCACCATCACTCAGAGGAATGGTAATAACCATATTGTGACTGATACCCTCAGTTTGGGACTTTGCGCTGGCTGCTAAAGATGAGGACGGAGCACGCATAGGAATGCCCCAAATACTGTGATGTCAATTCTTGACTCAACTTAACTCACCTAGAAACTTCACGATGAGGTTATTCTTTTTGAGTTTAGGCCTAGGTGTCGTCAGTACTGTTGGCACCAGTGAAGTCCTAGTTTTAGAACCCTGTGTTCTTCTTCCTTCCAAACTTTCTTCTTCTTGACGTCACCAGTTGTAAACTCTGATGAAAAGTCTTGATTGTTTGTCCACTTCTGGACTTTGGTCTTGTTCCAGAACTTGAGTGTTGTGTGCACATCCCTCATACAGGTCTGTCTTAATAGTATGCAAGTTGGTGGTTCCTTGGCTCTCAGGCAGGTGCTCTCCGACTTTTGAAGAAAAATTGCTCCTGCCTGCCTACACTGGCTAAGCTCCCAGTTGGGTATGTGTTTCTAGAATCACCGCAGAGCAGTTTAAATAGGCTTGGTCCAGTATTAGTCTCTGGTGCACCACATGCATGGTTCAACACCTCTACTTCCCAGAAACCAGAGTTCAAAGCACTTGCAGTTTATATGTTTAGTTAATGGATCAACATCATTGCACATGAGTGTAACTCATAAGTGCTTCCTTCTACTTCTAACTCAAGTCTGAGTCTGAAGAATCTCAGCCGCAGTGCATGAACTCTGTTACACTGGTGAGGATCCTGAAATACTTTGGGTAGATTTTTAACCCAAAATTTTGCCCAGGCAACGCCGTTAGGCTACTCTTTTTGCTTTTCAGCTGCCAAGGAATTTTCTACATGCGCAACAATACACACGCGTCCGATCTTACTACCCAGAGACCAGGGAAAATTACTAGAAGTCCGCGTGAAAAATCCCAGCCCTTACTGGGGCTTGAACCTGGGACCTCCAACACTCAAGGCGGACGCCATGCCTCTTGACATGGAGGCCCCCTTGCAGTTTGTAAAGATTAATCTGTCTTTCTCGGCAGTACTCTATGCTGATGTTTCACCTCATCCAGTCCATGTTTTTTCTTAAAGTCTCAAGACGTGTCATGAGAATCTAGTCAATAAATGAGTTAATTCCTTGCCTTTCTCATAAACTTGTGAAGTGTGAACATAAATTGAGAGGAGCTAAAGGAAACAGACATGATACTCTACAATTATACAAGCTGTGGTCCATAGTGGAAACTCATATGCGACTGAAAAATCTTGAGCCAATAGCTGTGACTCGCTGTGCGGTAAGAGTTAATATTCAGATCATGAAGTATACAATTCACTATGAGATTACATTTTTTTTTAAAGCATATTTTGCAAGATATTTTTCGAGCAACTGCATTATTTTTTAGTATTTAATTTTCTAAAACATATTTTGCAAGATTTTGTGTCTCCTAATCCAGTGGGATAAAGTTGTATTTTTTGTGCTTTTA